TGTAACTATATACTGTAGGCCGACTCTGGCAGGAGTTGAACCTGCATTTCCAGTGTAATTATGAACACGACCTTGCGAGTTCGACGACTGGACTCTGTAGCTCGCTCCTCCAGAATCGCAGGGCCGCACGCAGGTCCAACTCCTGCCAGAGGGCCTACAATATATAATTCTTTTTCAGGTACTTCAGGCAGTAACCACAAATATTATTTTCTGAAAACATAATAAATATATACCATATAAATATACTCACCAGACTTTGGGGTGGTCAACGAAAATGTCACACCGTTATCGTCGTCATCATCCTCTGATGAATCTACCCAATTGTCCTCAGCTATGAAGCTTTTTAAGCTAACAAAATTAATTCGAGTTTATTAATTAAAAATTAATTTAAAGGTTAAGAGCATATTTGGAACTTGCTGAGAAAGCAAACTTACTACAAAGATTCAGTATTTTACCTGAGACAAACCGGGGTTGACTCAGAAAGTCCAGGTTAACTCGTAAATGACACATATAAATGGCTCGTTATTTTTATTGTGGCAAGTTATTTTTTTCAGAATTAATATTTCATTAAAAATCCATAAAGAGTAATGCATATATATGTCTTACAGTACCTGTATCTTGGTACGAATTTTGGCTTCGGTGTTTTTATTTTATCTAAAACTGTTAACCACATCAACATTAGAGTCAAGCAATACAATAATATAATAATTATCATAAATGCACAGCATTATCTTAATCCTTCCTCACGTATATCCAAGTAAAAAGGAAATTAGGAAATACCGTATCAATTATTTTACAAACGTACATTGCTCAAAATCATCATCATCATCGGAGTCTGAGAACTGCACATTTCTCGAGGGTAATGTACCGGGTGTCCTGTCATTGCTGGAAGCAGAATGTTAGAGATAAATCAATGAAAACCATGTAATATTCAATCACCAGTTGTTACCAAACTAGCCAAGTTCAAATTTTATAAATTCCTATACCATCTATGCGCTCATGCCCCATCGAAAGTGTACATTTACTGTCTGTTAGTTATTGTTTAACTTCCTAACTGACTAAGACGTTTTGCTATACTAAAAATCGAAATTTACTTCTTCGTTCACAGGGCGTTTTCAACGTTGCATGCAGAAGCCATATTATTGTATCAATTTCAATATACGTACTTGGGCTTTATAACGAAGCTGCCAGCCTTTGTGTTCATTTCTAAATTTGTCGTCTTACCCACGGACAGATTTTTTCCCAAACGACTTGATAACGATATATTATATTTCCCACAATCACTGTCATCAGAATCCAGTGCGTCTTCCCAAACAGAATCACTATCACTTGATAAAAATATTACTTCCTTCTTCGTTGCAGGTGTACACACATTTTCTTTGTTTGACTGAAGTTCATCATTTCCATCAGCATCATTACTGCCGTTGCTAAGTCGGCAGGTCAATGGCAATTTTTTTGTAGTATTAGTCGTTTTCTTTAGCTGTGGACTAATTAAAAGAGTGGATACTAAATCAGTGTGATGAGCATTCGTTTCCAGAACATTTTTGTCTGAACCTTTGACAAAATCTTTTTGGATTTTGGAACATACTGTGGTGCAAAAATCTGCGGTGCCATCATCAAAGTTATTATTTGACTCACTTTGCTCTACCTGTAAATTCATTTGGCGAGAGTCACATTTGTTAGAAGTCTTACTTTCATCGTCATAAGATCCCACAATATAACCGTTATTGTCATCCACCAATGGATTGAAACATATCAAAGATTCATCTGGTCTTGTACTTGAACTGATCTGTTTTACATCATGGGTGGATGGAGTAACAAATTCTTTCTTGGGTTGAAAAACATTTTGGTCAATACTGTTTTCGATATTAGGAGACACCGATAAAACATCACTTCTGGTATTACTTTGAATAGGTTCTTCATATGAATGCTTACTTTCACAATGTTTTAATTCAAAAACACTGTTTTGATTACTGTAGTTCTTAACTTCCCCACACTGCACAGATTCATCGGTCACCTCGTGCGATTTACTCTGCAACTGATTATTTGTCATGGAAATATCTAATTCATTTCCTTTACAAGTTGATGTAATAGTTTCATTTGTAGGGTGTTTTCCTAGCGAATCTGTCTTTGTAGATTTAACATGATCAGAATGTGGACTAGTTTGAAGAGAAACCTTCTTAAAACTGTTAGTTTCACCATCACATTCCCAATCCAACAATTTTATTACTTTACCTGTGCTATCCGGCTTGGTATTTTTCAGTCTTTGTTCAAGGCCTGTTTTCAAATCATTGTTCTGAAGAAAACTGCTTGTTACGTTTAAATCCGGGAAAGGATTCTGATCAGCCTGCTCAAAATCGTTCTTTAATTTCCTACAAACATCAGTACTTTCATCACCACTTAATGGCGATGAATCTAACATTGCATTTTTCTGGTGCAGAACGACAGAAACATCACTACTTTGTGAACTACAACTTAGACTATCCAAAAATGGACTACCCAAATCTTGTAATGTACTTTTACTCTGACTTGAATACTTTTCGCTTCCATTATCTTCCGAAACATGTCGTTTCTTTTTGGTTTTTCGTCTGACGGTTATATTGTTGCTAGAGAGCATTGCAGGAGGTTGAAAATCCTCTGTTTCATCAAAATTGAGTGAACAAATGTTTGTTAGGTTAAAAGAGGTTTCAACCTCGCTTGCGTCATCTTCACTCCATAGTGCATCAAATACGGAACACTCGTTGTCTTTCTACCAAACAAAAACAGAACAAAGTTGGTAAGAGCTTCAATTAATCAACTCAGTTGAAGTACTTTTGTGAAGTATATACTATATAGTGTCTAAATAACATGCAGTATGAATGTGTGTCAGCAACAGACACATGACTATGGAGGGTTGGAGTCGCCCAACCTCATTTCTAAAAGCGTTTGAATGATAGCGGAATAACTTTGTAACAAAGCTATAACAGTAATTTGAGAAGCATTGTTGGCTTTAACTTAAGCTATATATTGTATGAAATTTAAGGTGTGACCATGTAATTGGCAGGAACGCCGGGACAATGTGGGGCAAGGGGAGGATTTTTGTCAACAGATTCATAAATTTCAATTTCTTTTCCTCTCCTCCCCCTTTTCCAAACCATCAAAATTAGCAATTTTGCCTAACTAGTCAAATCAACCTCTATGAGAAAGGTTTTGCACATTTTCCCCTAAAAATTTTGATTTGCGATTTTGGGCACATCCATTCAACACTACTGATTTTTTTAGAACATCTCAAATATTTCCTTAAAATCAAAAAGGGCACCTTGCAATGCCCCCCCCCCAAGTCCCCTTAATTGTTAGCTACTCAGGGCCAGGGATTAACACATAAGAATGTTGGTCTACTACAGTTTTTTTCCAGAAGATTGAGTTTTAGAAGAAGAGCACGTCCCCACTTCAACCACACACCACATTCAGATAGTACTTTTGGTCAAAACTATAACCATTTTAAAACAGATTTTCCATGGCTTAATTGTCAAAGAATATACAATGATCAAGTACTTTCTTCCTTTTACAATTAAATTAACTAGTAAATATTCACAGAGGGTCTAGATGGGGGAAGTCTGAAAATCAGTAAATGGTAAACATTTTCATATTTTAACGGTGACAATAAGTAACATTTTGGTATTTTAACGGTAAATCTTTGAAAAGTGTTCTGAAATGATAAACAGTATTTTTTCCTCACGATTCACGCTAAATTTTTAGTGTTTTCACAACTAACGGTAACCGAAATTGAGTAAATCACGACTCACAGTATACCCCAACAACACCCTCTTCACATTGCCACAATTTCTTCAAAGTATATTGTGAAAAATTTTATTACAGAGAAAGACTGAGTTTCAATACTCAATCGAAGAGTGAGTTTTTACTACAGTACCATACTGCAACCTGTAGTAGAAAAGTGCTTGACATATAAATCCCTGCTACATACATTTAATTTTAGTTGTACCCTCACTAAGTGTTCATGGTGCTATCTAGTAAGTCTGGTTGTTCCTATGTTAATATGCAATGATGTTTTTTGTTAATCTGTTGTGCATGTGTCAGGTCTTGGTGGTGGTGGGGGTCTTTGTTGGTAACTTAACAAGCATTGTCCTCCTGTCTTGTAACTCTTGTTTGGTGTTTTTGCGTTGTCAACTGCTGCAGCACATGCTCGTTAGTCAAGCCAGGTTGTTACAATGGCCAGAAGTCTCTTCTAACTAAAAGACAGCTGCAAAAGAGCATGAACCTTCTCCATGTAGTGTCACCACTCCAATTACGTCAATTCGGGATCCGCAGTAATTGGCTGTAGCTGTTGCGGTAATCCTGCCTTGTTTATATATATAGTAATTTGATGTTTCTTCTTAATATTGTTACCAAGGCAAAGTTAGATAAATTAATTAAAATTCAAAGTTAGTATGCTGCTTTGGGTAATTGGGTATGAATTTGGGTTAAAGCTAGTGGTAGATGTATATTAAGGGCCATTCCATTTAATGTCCACACCCCCCCTTCGGATGAGCTTTTCTGAAGGGTGACTCAAAAAGTCGTTTCTGAGGGGTTAAGCCTGTCGGCATCCTTTGATCTCTGCGATTTTTCTGAGGGGTAAGGGGAAAATTTACAAATTTCTGAGGGGTGTTTTGTGTCGGCACTTTGATCTTTTTTTCTTAGGGGTTAAAATTTTACTGACCTCATCCGTAGGGGGGGTGTGGATATTAAATGGAATGGCCCTAACGGCATTAAAATTTGTCCTGTTTATTATTGAAAATTGACACCAATCAATGCCAATCACAATAACACCGGTTAACGATGGATAATCGATTTTCAACATCAAATTAAATATTGTAAAATTATGTAATTCAGTAATTGCAAATATTTACAAGCTATACGGAGTATACGCCTATACTGTAATGCCTGCTGGTCATTTGGTCGAGAAGCAGCGTGGCTTTTATGTAAATATTGCAATACTTTATTCAATGGTCTGTCCTATACATCCAAACCTAACCTTACTATCTTTTATCGTTCTTGAGCAGCCATCACTGATTGATAAATTATCAACTTCAGCCAACAAATCCAATGGAAAGACCGCCATTTTGAATTTCTCAAATGACAAAAGCTCAAGTTTCAAATGACAACAAACAACGCGCCAGAATATTCCTGCATGCTGATTGGACAATTACTGAGTATTAACCACGTTATGGCATCTCATATTCTCATAGTCACAGTCTGTGCCTTATTCTGTGCCAAAGGATCATTCATGAGATCATTATTTGAGACCTATTTCTGCTATGATTTGGCTGGCTAATGTTTGGAATAGATTTGGTGGACCTTTTAAATCTCAGCAGTCAATTTTAAAGTTTGCAAGATGTGGTTATTTGGGACATGTTTCCACAGAACATCACAATACCAACATCAAACCTGACCCTTATAAATATGATGGCACATGTTCACCAAGTTTTCCAAATAATACAACATCCACCGTATTTCGGCCCCAAATTTACTTTGGATATCGAGACACATATTTAACGAAAAACAAAACTGCTTTCTTTCAAAGTATTCACAATGATCAAAATTTGGCTGTCAAACATAGCAGATATCTAAATGCTGGAAACCAAAACAGTGACATAAATCAAAGTTGGGTAACAAGGTTTCCAAAATCTGTACAACCATATTTGGTGTTATCTAGAATGGATCGTCCAATAGGATATTGGTTATTATTCCTTCCTGGTGCATGGAGTATTTCATTGGCTGCTTATGCTAGCTCAATGCCAAATATTCAATTATTAACATTATTTTTTGTTGGTGCAGTTTTAATGAGAAATGCAGGATGTGTAATTAATGACATGTGGGACTCTGATCTCGATAAAAAGGTATTTTAACACATTAATGTGGTAGAAATGGTAGCATTCTACAATAGTTGATCTGAAATATATAGAAAAAAATTCCTGCAAGCTTCTACACTGTAATTACACTGTAAAAGGAAAGTTTTCCCTCACTTGCTTCACTACTGCAAAGTCTTGCTTGACTACTGTATTTGAATTGTAATTGTTGTTCACAGTTCACTTTTCATCATGTTATTACTAAAATTACTGTATCTCATTTTGCCTCTAATAATTTTTTGCTTTATCATGAAAAATAGCACACCCCTGGCCAGGGCTAGGGGGTGCACCCCCCAGTAAATCCATCCCTGCGTGCACCACTCACACAATTGCAAACCACTTGCAAAACTATACCAAAATTATACCGGATATTGCCGACCAGGAAACCAAGATCGGGAACCCCGCTAAAAGTACCGTGCGTAGCTGGCATTGTTAAGGTTGGGGTTGAGGCGAAAAATTAGGGGAACTTGCTCCACCCTATCCCAGTTAATATGTTTTTAGTCCTGCGTTTTTCATACATATGTATACTGGCACGGAAAAGTTCAATTTAGACCGTTCTAAATTTTATCTAGTTAATATTACAGGGAACACTATTAAGTATACTGAAGAAAGTTTCGGATTGATATGGATGCAACTACCTGAAAAATAACTACAAGCGAAGGCCCTTTGTCAGGAAGTTTGTGGAGTTGAAAACAAAAGTTAGTGGAGTTTCAAAGGGCCTTCGCTCGAAACGTAGTTGCATCCCTATCAATCCGAAGCTTTCTTATTATTGTAACTACCTACACTGGCACAGACTGTTCAATGTTATAACACTAAATACTGTACTTTCATTTGTTTGGTTATTTCATTCAAAAGTACAGTAGCATGTAAATGAGTTAAACCTTTCCGTACGTAACCATCGTGCATAAAGCCACCTTTGAGATGCTTTTTAAAGGCCGGTTCAGATTGACGTCCACTACAACTACCGCTACCTTCACGTACTCAGTTGTTAGTACACACCAGATTGGTTAAACCAGGTGCACTCGAAAGGGGTACACAAATGTAGTCCACGGACAAGGTCCACGAAGGTAGTCTGGGGTACGCGTTTTGTCGTTTCCTTTACCATTATATGAATCCATTGCCATTACTTTCAAACTTATCCTGGAAAGCCTGCTCATGACTCTTGATAAACCAGTTGTCCCCACTTATTAATAATAACTTGTGATTTCAAAAAAAACATCAGTCTGGAAAACATCATCTAGTCTATTTAATGTTGTTTTATAATATTATGTCAGGTTGCAAGAACATCAACCAGACCCATTGCATCAGGTGATATCAATCATTTTCAAGCTTTAGTTTTCCTGGCCAGTCAATTGAGTATTTCACTGGGAATATTGCTGTCTCTAAATCAATACAGGTAACCATGCTGGGTATAGAATGATTGACTGAATACTAATATATAGTTTACTTAATTCATTGACATCTAGTAAGGGCTATTGACAAACAGATTTTGTCCCACAAACCCAGACTTAATTTTCCAATGGGTGAAGAGGGAGGGGGGGGGGGGGCATGGATTTGTGATATGATATATTACACAAAACTGGAGCCAAAGCTGACATTGATTTCAAAGCAATCAGGGACATGTCCACAGTTATGAAATCTAATCTAATTAAGCCTACATGATTCTGTGTTTTATTTTAAGTATCATACTGGGCGCGTCATCTCTTCTTCTGGTTGCATCTTATCCTCTGATGAAACGGATTACATATTGGCCTCAACTTGCATTAGGTAAACAGTATTACTGATGGTAATTGTTTAACATGCATACTCTTCACATGTTTAGAAGTGTAATGTTCTCACTAACATAAATCGTTGTTTAGGTTTAACATTCAATTGGGGTTGTCTTTTGGGATGGTCAGCAGTTACAGGATCTTTAGACTTGAGTGTATGTTTACCACTGTATGTAGCAGCAGTCAGTTGGACAATTTTTTATGACACTATATATGCTTTTCAGGTAACTACTGTATAAGTATGGTGTTATGGATTGTTATTGTTGTTATGTTCTCCATCACCGTCAGTTTTCATTAATTTGTTTTCTGTTGGTGATTAAGGTAACAGGCAGTATTAAGGTAACTGGTATGTTCTGAGATTGGCATGAATGAGAATGGACAACAATTGCTAGGACTGTGCTACCACCATAGTCTGTGTGTTAGCAACACATACTTTTAAATACTAAAGAGCAATCACGTACTGTACCCAGCGTCTTTCATCTATGCACCTACCGGAACTCCACGAAGTCTCCTGGAGACATCCCTGGTCTCACCACTGGCAATAGTTAGGCCTCATCACTAGCGTCTAGCATGTCATTGTGGACCTCTGTACTCGCTGTTACCACAGTGCTGACTATGACACAGAACCAGTTTCATTTTGGCAGCAAAGTGAGACTAATGCCTGAAAAGCTCACACATGCACCACAGTCTCCACGCATAATTTAACACCTGCTCCATAAACCAACTCGAGAGTTTAAAGACACTTTCAAAGACAGAATATAATATAAGTGAAAGCAATGTTGGCACCAATTGGTCCTAACTCTGTGACCACTCCTCAACAGACACATTCACGACAAAGGAGCAATAGAGTGCAGACTCAGTCTGGTATATTGCACACTGGCAGGTGCAGCCAATTCTAACATACAGCAGAGTCCCTGCTGCAGCACACTCGATGCTCTCCGAGCTGCACAAAAGACCACGTGCCAAGCAGCCTGCTTGCCGACGTGGCTGAATGCCTGAATCTGTGCAGCAGGATGCAATCAACAACGGACAGCAGGTGAGCAGGGACGGTAGAGGAATGTATGATTGTGCCAAAACAAATATTAAGGCTGGACTGCTTCAGGCCAAGTCTGGAGAGGTCATCAATGATTAGAGTAAGCAGTTAGAACACTGGGTGGAACACTACCTAGAGCTGCATGCAACTCAGACCATGACGACTATTGACTGATACAATCTGCCTACCATGGAAGAGCTCAGCAAAGCTTTTGACTGCTTCATTTGCGGGAACGTTCCTTGGAATGATGGCGTTCAGCCAAGAAAGATGGAATGCCAGATTATTGCAGCACCCACATGAACTCCTGTGCCTACGTTGGAGAAACGCTACATCCCACAAGGCATGCATACATACATGGTACCAACATTGTTACCGTATGCAAGACTAAGGGCTACTGCAGCAACTGCAAAAACTATCGCGGCATCTCCCACCTCAGCCTTTTTGGCAAAGCCTTTGTCTGCATGTGTTATATATCTTTGTTCTCCTGCCGAGCCTTGTTTTGCACATCAGCCCAAACTGAAAGTGCAGATCCAAAGTAGATATGATCTCACTGCACCAGCTGCACGGTACATGTCCTTCATTGACGCGGCAATGACCTTCGAGCTTTTCAGCAGAAGCTGTGCCTCCAACCTGCTCCGCGAGGGCATGCCATGTACAGTTTGCTTGAATTAGCCTTTCTCACGCCGCCATTTTTGGGGTACTTTTTTGCCAATCCTGCGAGCGTAACACCACGTAACGGAGACATTTTATAATTTTATGGGTGTATGATGGTAAATTTACTCTGTAAATAGTTAGTTTGTTCTGAAATATTGCTTTTCACATTGTTATAATCGTTTACAAAAAATTACAGTACCCCAAAAATGGCGGCGTGAGAAAGGCTAATTGTGCAACTTAGATGCCTTCACCTGTAAATAGTGAAGTGAAACAATGTTGCAAAGTTAGGAATCGTCTAATTCACCATGCTCCTGCAATGTCGTTACCAATTGCACTGAGGGGGTCCATCTCTACACCAGGAGCCAGTTGTATAAATCTTTTTAACCACTATTTTGTAGTTAAACGCGATTTTGATTGGTTAACTTTCGCACGTTAACTTTAACTACCTTTGTAATACAATCGGCCCCACAGCTGATGGAAAACTTTTCAACATTGCTCAACTACGCCATGAAACGAAGGTCAGGGACTCCTCCCTGTCAGGGAGGTTCTCATAAGTTGCAGCGATGAGTCAGCGGATTGTCCCATGCTTCAGCCTGCAAAGATAAGGCCCCACTTGAAGTGATCGACACTTTCACATTCCATGTCTACCATCTCCTGCTTCCCTTTTCTGAATGCAAAAATGGGCACCAAGATTGCCAGAGCCACAGTAGTAGCTGAACAGGCGAGTGTGGAGAAATAGGCTCTGCCAAGTGTGCGTACGTACCAATGCTGGCAATGCAAGTTATGGACAATATACGATTTATGCCTTTAACCTCCGCTATTCTGTCCATCCAGTGGCACGACAGAGCGACAACAGATATTTGTCAGCTTTCTGGCATCTCTAGTTTGCTCAGCCAGAAATGCCTCGAGTGGCTGAGCAATGCGAGACGTACAACCAGCTGGTTGGCCAAAGGTTAGCTTCGAAAATTATCTGCAAACGACACATGAAACGGGCGGACACCAACCCCAACACGTGCGAAGTCTAGTGTAAGGTCACCGTCAAGGGCAGAGTTCTATGAGCAGGAACAACCAACTTGCTGAGGTCAGCCACTACCTGCAAGACACTGCCATTCCAAAATAGGACTCCACAGTCACTCTAGGAACCTAATATGTTGCACCATCGTCTCCCGGGACCAACGGACTACATCTCACTGGCTTATTACCCGTCTCATTGGTTAAGCCAGATCTGAACCTCTATTATTCGGCGGGGTATTCTAGAATCGCTCCACCGACTTGCCAAATCGCAATGTGTAAACATAACCTTAAATGTTTACAATGTAAGCCTAGCTTACAATGTAAGCCTCCTTCAAAGACGCCATTTTAATCCAAACTCTCTTCCAAAGTTTAACGACACCAGTATATTGTTAGAAGTTTTACGCTCCATACTGTAGTCTCTCTTATGCACATGAATGTAGTATTGATTAGTGTTGATAAAACTTGAGTTTTGGTTCACTGAAACGCTATAAAGAAGCTATTTTCATTCTTTTTCTCAGGATGTTGAGGACGACAGATGGGTTGGTGTAAAATCTACTGCATTATTATTCGGAGATAATGCTAAGCTATGTCTTACTGGTTTTGCTGCAGTTACGGTTGCTAACCTTATTGCAGTAGGAATAAATACCTCACAAACTTGGCCTTATTATCTTGGATTAATGGCAGCAACTTCACATCTCACATGGCAGGTACTGAAAATATAACGATATATATAGAACAATGCACATTAAATATACTCAATTACAATATACATGTAGGCTCTTTGCAGTTAACCAAAAATAGTTGAGAATAATGAGTGGCTGGAGAGCTGTGGCATTTGTAAACAAAGGAGTAAAACGAAGCACAGCATTTTTCTTGTCTTCCTGAAATTGTTGTGCCAAGTATTTTTAGGCCAGCTGCATAAGGGCCTATGGAGTTGTTCCCTCATCCGTTTGGCAGAACTTTCCGAAATGTTTAATAATTTATAGGTTGCGACAGTTGACCTATCTGAACCAAAAGACTGTCTCTCGAAGTTCAAATCAAACAGATGGCTTGGTATTCTACTGTGGATGTCAATTGTCACGGGTACTCTGTGGAAATCAGAGCAAGAAAATACGGAAACCTGCAAGGATTGTGCCACAACAACCTAATAAATATTATAAACACATGGATGAACTGAAGACAAAGCAAACCGACGTTCGAAAAGATTAATTTTAAAACCACTGTGAGATCGTTCTCGTAAACCATTAGTGAAGACGTTTCTCACCGGTGATTCTTCAAATTCCATGTTACTAAAGACTTACTTAGATAGTGGAGGAAACACTACATATTAGGAAATATATTTGAGATTTTTAATTATTACAACTGCAAGACGCTGAAATTACCATGGTTTTAGGTAGACATTTTGAGAACATATTCTATAGACTATACTGTAATTCATGGGTAGTAAAATTAAAAGATCACAAATTTGTAAATTGAGGAGACCAAAAGGGTCATGCACGTCTACCAATGAATTTAATTATATTTTCTAGCGTCATTGTTAATACAAGAAAAGAAGTTTGAGGCTCTTATTTGCACCGTCGAATCTCGCCCATCTGTTCTTTCAGTAAACTATGAACGCACGAAAAAATATTTTGATCTAAAATTTGTCAGAAAATTAAAACTATTTATTCAGCTGGGGCCGGTTGTTCAAAGCCGGTTAGCTTAACCCCTAGGTTAACTTAAAATTCAAAGCACACTTCCTAACAGCTTGTTTATAAATTTGGAAATATTTCTTCACAAATCATGTCTGGTTCAATAGAAGTTGTTTTTTGACATTTTGAAATAAATGCACGTGCAGGAGTACCCAAACTAAAACAGCAGGCTAAATTTTAACCCTGGGTTAGCGCTAACCCACCTTTGAACAACCGGCCCCAGGCCGGAAAAAGCGTATAACGGTTACTGAACACGAGTGCCATTTTTTCCTCCAGACTTCCAAATTCATCTAATACCATAGGCATGGCTTACCCATTTTCCCAGGACAGAAATAAGCGAACTAGTCCATTACCAATGACCCTTTATGGCTTTAAGAACCGCCAACGTTTAATGTGCATATACGCTGCAGCTTAACTACATGCAGTAGCCTGCATGGCGGGAGATAAAATTAGAGTGACAACTTAAAAAGTGACCAAATTTATTGCTGCAATAATTTATATTAGACAATTTATTCAAAAAATATTACTGTCCAAGAAGTATTAAAATTAAATATTCCGCGAAATTGATAAATATTCGCTAACATCCATCATCCACTTAATTTAATATACCACTTCGATAATTGTCACAAACCTCTTCTTTTCTCCCCGGGAGCCTCTTCTCATGAATCGTAAGCCAGTCGTCTTACGTCTTGATTCATGAGAGCGAGACTCCCAGGCCAAGAAAGAATTCATGACGAATTATCGAACTGAAAGTGTATTCCATCTCGATGAATTGTGGAATTAAAAAATCCTAGGAAAAAATAGAAATTTGTGGCTATAAGTACGAAGTGGAGTTTCTTATGAGATATCGTAGATTTGCTGCACCAAAAGGCAACATTAATTCTATGGACTATGAGATGGATTTAAGTGCATTACAGCTTACGTTCTAAATTCAAAATTGTACACACATTTAGGGCCATGTTACACAAGCCAAACTTCTTGCAAAATGTTTCCAAAGCTATCAGATGCATGCGAAAAGCCTTCAATGAACGGCAAAGGGTACATTTTTAAAGAACACTCCTGTGATAACATGCCAATCTTTATCTTTGCATCAGTTGTTGATAACTAGACTAATATAACAAGGCCCTCTATTTAAACCCCCGTTGTCAGGGTATTATTATACAACGTTACGAAAATGGTCTGTATGCTGGCTGGAAGTTTGGAATTCTGTTATTTCCATCATTTAATTCTAAAAACAAAAATTAACGAAAAAGTGTTGGAATTTTCCTGGACACCTCTATTCATTACAATGGCTACAATTATGAAAGCGCAGAGAGAAGCTTGTGTTATAAGTCACACCCCACTTCTCCATTTGTATCAGTAATCTTAAAATACATTTGATGGAACATTGAGAAGATGGAATGCAGGGGAAGACTGATATACATTCATTCTATGATCAAGTAATTGTTAAAAGTTTGTGCTGTCCGAATCATTGTCGATATTCTACAGCTGCACACTTACCAGTAGGTAGATTATTCCTGAGCATTGATTGTTGGTTCGGAAACTGCGGACGTGGCATTCCTGCAAAGTTTTTCATATTACCAGGAAAACCTGACCCAGGCTGAGGTTTATTATTTGGAACACTTTGCATATTCATCATTGAGGGAATAGTAAGTGGATTGCTACTCATTATTGATACTCCATTGTTTTGAAGAGGATTTGACGATTGACCAATCAGTGGTAAATTCGGTGACATGTGATTTTGAGACATGCTGTCAAGTGAGAAAATAATGATCAATCAAGGATTTAATCTCGCTTGTCGCTACTCTTACATGTTTTATAGACGGTCTATCAGGATTGTAGCTATAGGAGGTATACACTTATGCGACAGAAAAATGATCGGTGATGCATGCTGTATCGAGCTGTACTGCCTAAAGATCAAGCCTCAGAATATGGTGAATAGCAATGTCAAAGTCGACTATGCATGACTATGTTATACACTTATTATTACTGTTCTCAGACTGATGTATAAAATAACTTAGTAGTTAGTATAAAGACAAAACACTTACTTAGCTAGAGAGTTCAGCAGTGACGTAGCCGTCAATTGTGTGTTAGGTTTATCTGATGATGATAGTGCCATAAAAGTTGAAGCAAGTGTATTTAAATGTGAAGTTCTTTGATGACTTTCTGGACTGGATCGAGTCGGTTGCATTGGAAACTGACAACTTAAATTTGGCGAAGATGGCACCTTGTTCATGTAATTATAACCTTGTCTTGGTGAACGGGGTGATGCAGGGGTCTCTTGGTTAAGTTTCGAAGGTATGTTCTGTAAACTGCATGAAGACAGTCGTTTTGGTGGACTGATATTGCCAAATGTTCCTGTATTATTTGACATTTGCCTAATGGGTGAAACATTTCTTATTGGGTGTCTGTTCGGACTAGACAGTGGTGGTGATGAAACTGCCATACTGTTTGGTGTTTTAATATTTCGAGGTGGAGAAATTTGATGTTCTTGTGAGACATTTTGAAAGGAACACGATGGTAATGGAGATGATACTGACGTTGCATGGCTTAGCGGCCTGTTTTCAGGGCTATGAAATGCCTGAGTATTCCGTGATGGATTCACTTCGTCCAAAAAATCTAATATCGTTTTTCCAGTAGCCTTTGGTTTATTCATATTTGTCTGTGAGTTAAATGCAGCTTGTAATATTCGCTGGGGAGAGTTTGTATGAACTGCAACACGAGGTGAACTTGGAGACTTGGACTGAACTTGTGATAAAGGATGTCCTTGATCTTCTCGTGGTGGAGTATGAAACTGACCTTGAAGTTGACCTTGACCCCGTACTTGACCTTGTGCATGAGTCAGGGTCTGAAGCTGATTTTGAATGCGATTCTGAGATTCTAATTGGTTTTGACGATATGCTGAAGTTTTAAGTTGAACTTGGGTCTGATTATGTGCATGAGTCAAAATTTGACCTCGACCTTTCCCTTGACCAGTTTGTTGCGTAATGGGCTGTACATGTGACTGAACATGTGGTTTATTCTGAGAATTCTGTACAGTGGAGCGTTGCCCGTGAAGTGCAGGCTGTCCTTGTAACTGAGCATTAACTTTCTGAACCAGAGTTTGGTTTTGTACATGGCCTTGCAACTGTATATGCGACTGATCTTTACTCTGAACTTCGGTTAGCCCTAGAAGCTTACGCAAGGTACTTTCATCTTCTTCCGGGCGAGGTTTAACTCTATCTTTGATTTGATTTTGAAAGGCAGCACTCTGAGGTTTTAGCAACGAATGATCCTGAGGATGACTTGAAGACAGAGATTGACTTGGAGTTTGGCCATGAATCGATTGACCTTGAGACTGACTGGGATGTTTTAAATTCAATTGATCTGGGGAATTACGATCCTTCTGTTCTGAAAGTTCCGCTTGTGGTTTACTTTGAGTTGCTAGTAGTACAGAACCTTGTGCTGAGATCCGAGGTTTCTCTACACCCTTACATTGCAATGTACCTTGTAATGCAGTTCTCACTATCGGTTCACTCGGAGTTATTTCCTGAGCTCGAACTTGTGATTCGCTTCGCAAGGTTTGATCTTGGGGTTTTATCTGAGTTAAAGCCTGGGATTTCAGTTGAGTTGGACCCTGAAGTTTCATTTGAGTTGCATTCTGAAGTTTCATCTGAGATTGTCCTACAAGCTGGCTGGATTGCAATGGGTTTATAACGCGAGGTTCATCTTGGGACTTCACCTGAGACTTAACTTCCACCGAAGATTTAACTGGAACGTCTGCTTCAGTTTTTGTTTGAATACTGGGTTTTAGTTGAATAGTTTGTTTATCTGTTGGGATATTTAATGCTTGTGGCCGTACAGCATCTGGAGTCTTCGTGACAGTTGTGGATTTTGTTACATCATTTGTCGCAGAAACTGAACTGGTTGAAATGTTCGTAGGTTTTACTCCCTCGCTGTTTTTCTGATCAATAGCCATTGCAGTGACCTAAAGAAAAAGAACAGACTTCCTTAAAATACGAAGAAGGAAACGATATTGAAGTACAAGTATACATTGAACATCGTAAACTATCGAAAGACACGGGATGCAATATACGTATCTGTTATCTATTGGTTGCTAGGTCTGGACAAAATTTGAAAAGTGGAAAGCAGCAACGACAATAAAGGTATGCTATATTTCTTTAGATTTTACACACTTTTGGAGCAGATTTTTAGTTTAAAGCTCGTTTCACTACTTTAAAACTTGTTCCACATTGTTTTGGTGCAAAAGCCGGAGCGGTCTGGTTGAGTTTCAAAGCGGTCTGGATGAGAAGAACCGGACAGCTCGCCAGCCAAAATGACTGCTTTATTTTCATGGATACCGGACCGCTAAAAATACTTTGCATTGAACGTAAAATTATATTTATTTTGGGCAAATATCAAGATTTTTGGGTTTTCTTCGAAAGTAGTATATGGAATTTTCGAACTTCGAAATTCCATCCACTAAAAACCCATCTGATACTTCTTTTGCCTATTCTCTACACTCAGTCACGTGTTGGATACAGGAAAGTGTCCTAACATTACCGGGATATATTTGGAAATATGCTGAAATAAGTTTTCGTCGAAGTTACCTGTTGGTGGTTGGAATCTTGACCCTTGCCTTCCTCTTCCTTGGGTCGTTTGGCATCTGTAATAATAACATAATCACGATTGTATTCAATTGTGCACAGTGTGATACGCGAACGGCGGGGCTCGCCTAGTTACTGTAGTTCAAAAAAGTACTTCGTTTCGATAAACAAATCACAAATGGAGTACTAGTATCCATTTATATTTAACACAACAAGAATGGTACGTAGAGGCGTTGTTACACGCTGCCACCTTCTACGCAACTTCCAACGCACTTAGGCGAAAAGCCATGTGAAGTGTAACACTCAGGGTCACAACAGAATTTGGAGTAAGAGTGGTTTTGAAATGAGTATGCGGCTATATGTAGTGCTGAAGGTGCTACCACGCACTAGGAATGAGTTTAGACCTCCTGAGATGGCATATCCAGCCATTGTGGAGCGTAGGTTTGGAACGTCGACGTTTCGAGCGAAGGCCAACTCAACATATATAAAGCGCATATCTGGCATATGAATTTGAAGTTAGCCCCTTGGACAATGGAGAAAACGTGGCTTCATGCATAGCTCCCTAACTTGTGCAACCATGGAGAACAGTGCTTTCACACAAAACACTTCTCCGGATAGTCTGGATAGCCCTCACTAAATTCTAGAGAATATTTAGTGCTATCAAGTGTGACGAAGACAAAGTAAGCCACATTACTCTGGATATCTTTGATTAACACGTTACATACCTTTTTTTGCTTTTGCCACTCCACTAAAAAATGAAACGAAAAATTAATATGACATCGCGTGTTGGAATTCCAATGGAGTCACGTGCATGTTGAAGTGAGTGCAGTACTTACATCGTACTTGTCACCTTGGCGTGTGCTTGTTTACTTTCTCGGTACAAAATCCTAATTGAATAAAACGAAACATGTTAGAATCCTACTTACTGTAATTCCAAGTGTTATGGGTTAAACCAAATATACTACAAGCTTGAGCCTATTCCACTGACGAGCCAAAGAAATGGCATTTCAAAAATAAAATGTAACTTTTAGCTCCAGCTAATGCCAAAATATTAACTGTTACACCATATTAATACGATTCTACATCCCACAAGACGTTATCTTGAATACACTATAACCATAATATACCACAACCATAACATTTAGATATCTGGAGAATTATCTCCTGCCACCACGGAAGAATCTGATTTATAGGTAACATTAATGTGTTACCTTGTTGTCATCCATCCTTTGGGCCATAGAGGACGCACTTCAGTTTCTAAGAAGCCCTGAGTAAAAATCAAATAACAGTAAGTACTTTAAATCTCGGAAATTACCTTTCTGAAAGCAAACATGATTACGCCGAGATCAGTTTCAGGACCGGACTATTCACTTATTGAGGTATAAGGTATTCACGGGGGCTGCATGGTTTACAAATTTTATATATCCACTCGTCTAAAGGCTAATTATCATGTACAACAGTTTGCAGGACATGGAGGAATACGATGGACACGAACAATCTATTACCAGATTCCTAATTTAATATTTAGGGACCACTTTCAAACACAACGATAAAATGGTGGGGCAATATTTGGTTCATTAAGAAATTCCAGTAAATGCATGTACCATATATTAAATAAAATTATTTCACTTCATTTAACATATTTACACCTTTTGAATGCCAGAATGATCTTAGAAATATAAGTATAGTACCTTCAAAGCTTCCTCGGCAGTCGTACTTCTACTCTTTGACATTAAATAAAGTTCCACTTTGATACCCACAACATCACAAAGCAGATTCCTGGCAAGATAAACGTAGTTAAATACGCAATCTTACAGCTGTGTTTTCTTGTTGATTACACAGGGTGTGCTTGACCAATTCACTTGAGCCATGCAGAGGCTCGTGATACACGTACTCGACAACTAATGCCTAGGGGTTAACGGAGGAAAACCGGAGGGCCCGGAGAAAAACCCTTGAAACACAGGAAACTCAAAGAACCAACCACACTCTCCTACAAGAGTTTTAAATTAAAAAATTACCTAACCTAAGTAAATTCCCTACTCTCGCCCTAAATTGTCAAGCTTAAGTCATCAGTAACGCGGGCAGTCCGCTAACAGCAACTGCTACCCATGCTTCCCTGACAACTCTAACCTGATGTCATCTTTCCAGACAAAGCGTTTTGGTAAAATTGCTCGCTTCCCTTTATCTTCACTTGGTGTTGTGGGTGCCTAGTTAAGAAAAAGAACATTTCTCCAGGTTTCGTTATGTTCAAAACTTTTACTTGGTAGAGAAACATTAACCCATTGCTCGAGCACCAGCGCTCTTCCCTTGACAAGTGAAGTTGTCTGGCGTTTATAGACAGTAAAATAACCTGGCGTTAGACAGTAAAATAATAAAGTAGAGCGCATTGGGGCGCAATGCAATTAACTTAATAGGTTAACTAGACACATGGGCAGATAGTCTGATTAACCCATTGAGCGCCAGCGCTCTCTTTTTAACGAGAAAAATAATCCGGCGTTAGACAGAGTAAAATATAATAAAGTAGGGCGCATTGGGGCGCAATACAACTTAATGGGTTGAACCCTTAGCCAGACGAAAATCAGTAGCATTTTGTAAAAGGTATAAGTACATGACAAGGTGTACGATGCTGAAGTCACAACATAAAAGTTTCCCGACTACACCCGCAGTGTGTACAATACAGTCATGGAAAATGTTCGGCACAGCCCAGTTTTTTGATCCATTGAAAACAAACTCTTCAGGGCCTCTTTACATTCAAACCACATCAACATATATTTGAGCGTGCACTGCATGGTATGTTGCATAAGTGGTTGTGTCGTAATTGAAGATTTAAATTTAACACAGAACAAACATTTTTTGCTTGGATTTTGCTTCCATTTTATCGAGGACTGCTGCACACCAAGAGCAATTAACTCAGAGAACAAAAGGGTAGATTACAATAACTGAATGTTTTCAAGCCTTAATACTGTATGTGCCCAGAAAACACAAACAGAGACATTGATTCTCTACACAGTAATTAGAGGTATACTACACATTACAATTACTGTTTCAAAACGTACATTGACATCAGTGGGTGTTGTAGATTCCTCGTTTTTATCATTCTCTCCATCCACTTCAAGATCTTTCATCACTACATCATCCTTTAAAATAAATAGCTCACTGAAAGAAATAGTTGCAAGTAAAACCACTGTACTCCAATCGATATAAAAGTATTTCACTGAAGGGCTTGAATCCGGGTTTTTCCATTAATTTAGTTTATTGTACGATCATCCAGATTAAAATTTTTAATTATTTCTGACGTTTCGGTTTTGAGGATGAGAGAATGTTCTTAGAAAGTTGGTTTACAAAATGCGATGAAAACAGCATTAACATTTGACGCGATATGCCAGGAGCATACGCTGGACTAATCACGCATGAACGCAGGCTCTCATGCCTTGAACGCAGGCGCGAGCAAACAACATCACGAACACGCGCACGTCATTTTTGACGCAAGATAAAATTATTATAACTGTAAATTTTTTTGTAACTGTAATACGTCTTTGATAATGGCTGCCGTGTAGGTAGCCGAAACGTCAGAAATAATTAAAAAATTTAATCTGGATGATCGTACAATAAACTAAATTAATAAAAGTATTTATTATTCAATTTTTAATTCTATAGGATTATACGGAAGGTTTTTCAATATTATATTATTGAGGAGAAAAAACCCTTCCGTATAATTATATAGAATTAAAAATTAAATAATTTATACTATGAACAGAGGTGAGAGTTTTAGAAAGAAAATTACAAATTACATATAAAAGTAGTTTTAAACTGATATCTTATCAGTCAAAAACTGCCTTATGCATCTGTTTTATTCAACAACTAACCTTTTTCTCTCCATTTTGATTGGCAGTATCAATGCAAAGTTTTTGGCTAAAATAAAATAACCAAGTATGTAGAAAGTCGTTTCATTTACCGAACAGTGGGATCTAGTGGCAGTAGTTGTATAAAATATATAGACTGCCTTTAATCTCGCGCAGGTGTCCTGGGTACGAGACTGACGTCTATTTGTGTCGAAAAGATCTGAAAAAGATTACGGTATAGGAGTTTTCTTTTTAGGTAACCAGTACACTCACAGACGCCAGTACACTCACAGACGCCAGCTCGTTTTATTTCATATACATACCCACTACATTGTCGCACTTCACGAGTCGTTACAATTCGTCACAAGTCGTCAATTAACCCGTTTGCGTCAGTACGATAACATGGATTAAGTTACCAAAGAAAAAGAAACTGTGCTTTATGACGGTCGAGGCGAGTTCCACGAATTTCGTCACGAGTCATGAATCTCGTGAAGTTGCTTATGTATACTTTTATGATAGTTCAGTAAAGCAGTTGGAGAGAATGCGGTTTGTTCACAACTGCTTCTGGTTAAGTCTAATAAATGTATAAAAATTCCACTCGAAATTTCCATCTACAAATCCCTTCAACAATTAATTGTATCGAGTGGGATGCCCAAAAATCCTGTATATTCATGTCATTCCAAGTTCCTTAATTGTCACATTAACTGTATTATCATTGACATTGTCACATTTCTAGGCTTTGCAAAATTTCGTGTTAGCCCTAAGGCTAGACTTGCTCCAAGTCTCTCTTTCATTGTCATATCGATCCACTATAGTGTACATTAAATGACGTAGCACGGAGAGAGAAAGAGAGACTTGTCAACTTCGGAAAATCTCGGTTCAAAACTGAACCGAAAATTATGCAAGACTTGCTTTAATTGTTTTCCTTCAATTTCTTTCTGTATTATTTACTACAATGGAACTCATGTTATTTACACTGTGCTAGATCAATACATATAAACACTGACAGAAAACAATTAAAGCAAGTCTTGCATCTTCGGTTCAGTTTTGAACCGAGATTTTCCGAAGTTGAGAAGTCTCTCTTTCTCGCTCCGCCCCTCCGTACTACGTCATGTAATGTACACTATAGTGGATCGATACTATATGACAACGAAAGAGAGACTTGGAGCAAGTCTACCCTAAAGCTCGTTTTGAAATCTTTGTTAAAAAGCAACATTCATATTAATAATAGTTTAAACTTTAAAAACAACATATGTTGCTTAAAGGTGATAAATTAATGGACCTATTCCCTAATGAACAAAATTTTGATCGAGACAAGTCTAGACAAAAATTTCATCACGGCTTGAAAGAGCATCACAAAATTAGTAATATTCCGAAGTTTCGTTGCGAAATGTTCTAAAATTCGGATAATATAGCCAAATGAAGTTTGCCGTTTTTCAGTCATTTTGTATTACGCGCGGGAAATTGATACCGCTTTCTGAAAAAAGGTATCAATTCCCCGCGCGTAATACAAAATGACTGAAAAACGGGCAAACTTCGCAGGGCTATATTATCCGCATTTTACAACATTTCACAACGAAACGTCGGAATATTACTAGTTTTGTGATGCTCTTTCAAGCTGTGATGAAATTTTTGTCTAGACTTCTCTAGATCAAAATTTTGTTCATTAGGGAATAGGTCCATTGGTCACCAGCGAACAAGATGACTGCGGATGGAGGATATACAACTACCTGAAAAATACAAGCAGAACTTCGACGTTTCGAGCGATGGCGCTTCATCGAGAAGTTATGGAGTTACTAACGTTACCTACGAAGGGCCTTTGTTTAAAACACTTTATTCGATAGTGACCAAACGGTAGGAGTGCGAACGGGACTCGAGGTCTGCGAGGCACTCCTCCGATTAAAAATACAACAACAGACAATACATGTACAATAAAATATACATAACTACGGTCATAAATAAACATATGCCACCAACTCGAAAATCAAGGCTAAGATTTATGATGCTTAAAAATTGAGTGAGAGCATTAATACCTTGAAATGATGTAAGGAACAATTAATATAATTTAGTAATCAAGCAATTATAGCTATGTTTATCTCATACGTTAAACTCGATGACATGATCAAGTTCGATGTAATGACCATGTGTCTACGTCGTAACAAGACTGATTAATACATGTAAATATGTTCTTGATAAAAACGATCTGAACATAGTTAGGCTAGTTAAGTCTGCAGGTTTAGCAGTTCTACACATACGGTTCCAAGGGGGAACGATACGATTAAAGTACGATGACTGGAATAATGATGGCCTTTGCCCGAAACGTCGACGTCCTGCTTGTATTTTTCAGGAATTTGTATTCGCATTTATCTTATTATCGTCTCTACCTACAATGGCGAGAACCGCTCGAGATTATATCATCACTGAGAAAATATAAGCATTATCCAAGCATCACTGTAGAAATAAACGGGCATGCCATGCCAAATACCTTTGACGATGTTTATTTGAAAAATTATAGTAACGCTCGTACTAACCTTTGAAGAGCTTGTTCTTCGGAAAGTTTAGCGACTTCCTCTTCATAATGCTTCACTTGAGCAGGCATGGCAGCTTCAATAGCTAAACAGTTCAATCATTTCGGTAAGTCACTCACTATACAAGGTTTTGCAGACGAATTTTTCTCGGTATTAACATCATATTAATTGTAGAAACCAGCGCGCTTAGCTATATATAAGCGCCCTGGTAGAAACAGTAACTACACTGGGATAGACTTCTTTGATTCGAATTTCGCACAGTTCACTTTTTAACCTACAGCATATAAATTTGTGAACCATTACCAGCTTTATTCCTTTAAACAAATTAGCTAAAACAACACTCACCTAGACGCAATTTTAGCAATGGTTCTCTCAATCTGCCAACCTATTAAAATAAAAATTATTTTGCAAATGATAAAAAAGCCTTATATTAAACTACCTATAAGGATACCTAACTTAGTTTGGGCACCGACTACCATTCAAGAATAGCAATATTTCTACGATATTGATGGCAATGATGGGATTAGCCTTACTACAGTCATAATACATGCATACACTAAAAAAATTACTAACCTGTTCTTGCATGAAAAGATTTTTCGCTCGCTTTAACAACGTATCTTTTGTACAGGGCAGGAAGAGAGCCAGATAGTCATAAACAGCCTGCAAACAAACATTTCTGTATATTAAATGACGACATAATGAGGCGTAAAATAGTTTCGCTTTCAACGTAGTCACGCAGATGCTCAAAATTCACTCCAAATTAATTTTGTAAAGCAATACAGTACCAATGGAGAAGCTCTAGATCTGGAAATATTTACAATCTTTATAACTTGCACATTAGTTTCTTACACTTTGTGTACGCTCCAATTAAAATCTTGACATCTTCTCAAGCTTTTGTACAAGCAAAAGAGAAAAGCTATTCTGCACTTAGTTGAGGTAGTGACGTTACACCGAAGATTTGTCTGAAACGTTCGGGTTATATATAGGGGTCAGGGTTAGGTTCAGAAACTCAGTGTGACGTCACCACATCAACTGAGTGCAGAATAAGCTCTACCACGCGATCGGACGAGAATTTGGAACCGTACGCAAATTCGACAAGCTCTAATTGTTCACATAGAAATTCGTACGGTTATAGCTGTGCTGGAATTCGTGCATTTTCACATATGAAAATGTTCGAAAGGTTCATAACAAAACCCATCAGTTGAACGAATCTGATACCCTGCACTATACACTAGCAACAAGAAAATCTTAGAGAAGTTCACATTTGAGAAACGAAACATGTTATACTCGCAGGAAAACTCAACTACAATAATAATAACTACTCACAGATCTTGCTCTGCAGTTTAATTTTCTAGAATCTGTTTCAATTCTAAAAAGAAAAAAACATAATTCGTCTGACAAGTAATTCACCATTTAATTAACTGATTTACTTTCGTTTGGCCATATCGGATTACCAACATAACCTAACAAAAGATGTCGACTCTTGGGGCTTTGGTGGCGCAATAGTCAGAGCAAGCGCCTTTCACCTCGAGGTCGTGGGTTCGATTCTCGTGGGTTCATACCATGGATAGATATCTTATATACACTAGATAGTGCATCTAATTATTCTGCAATTCAAAAATTGAAGCCGTGATTGCAGTCTCAGGTCGTTCCCATGAAATGAGAAGATTCGTATGTTTTCTATTTCTTAAACAGGAAACTTAAACATTAAGTTAACCCTATTCCAAATACATTTTTAAACTATTCGAATGATGAAAGTTATTGTTGTTTTTAAGCGTTTATTAGCAAGTGGGAACGACCAACATGGCCGCCATCTATTCAAATGGGGGTAACCGCTGGAATATTCTTGGCTTCAATTTTACTAAAAGAGATGCGCTATCTAGTGTATATAAGATATATCTATGGCTCATGCATGACACTTACGTGAAAAGAGTCAGTCAACGCACTTCCAAAAGTCGTGGGTTTTCTCTGGGTACTCCTGTTTCCTCCCACAGGGAATGTTGACAGGGTGGGTTGGGATTATCCCCCTAACTGACCCTTCCATCGTAGCTGTGCATGACATGAGTCATAAGATGGCTGTCATAAGCGCCCTTAGAAAGCCTTCGACTCGCTCAGATTGAGCTGCGTCCCTCGTAATGGACTATTCCCCAATTAACTAAATTTTTTATCTCAACAAGTCTAGACAAAATTCCATCATAGCATGAAAGAGCATCACAAAATTAGTAATATTCCAAAGTTTCGTTGCGAAATGTTGTAAAATGCAGATAATATAGCCTTGCGAAGTTTGTAATTTTCAGTCATTTTGTATTACGCACAGAAGTGGTAACTATTTCCCGTTTGTAATCTAAAATGACTGAAAATTGCAAACTTCGCAAGGCTATATTATCCGCATTTTACAACATTTTGCAACGAAACTTTGGAATATTACTAATTTTGTGATGCTCTTTTTTGTCTAGACTTGTTGAGTTCAAAATTTTGGTTAATTGGGGAATGGTCCATTCAGCTTAGCTCTCAGCTGCAAGTAAGGATGATTAGCACATCCCACTTACTTACGGACTCGCCTACACCTCGTGTTTTTATACACGTATCTCTCGTACTCTCCCAACATTCCCCTCGTGCATTATCACAGCATAAACGCACGCGACTCATTTTCTATTTCTTACAGGATTACGAATATATATATATATATATATATATATATATATATATATATATATATATATATATATATATATATATATATATATATATATATATATATATATATATATATATATATACTGTATAATGCTATATAGGTAAAGTAGGAACCAGGGGTTGTGCCCCTCCCAGAATTTCTTCAAAGAAGGCACGTTTTTCTATATACATTAAAATGTGCCCTTTGCTAATGAAAATATATGTTCTTGTATAAAATAGTGCCCCATCCAGCTTCAAGTTGCTCCCCAGATCCTCGAATGGTAATTATGTCAGTGACATATATTAATTTTGGTAACCTGGTGACATAATGGTAACCTTGTTAAGAAGGAAGACACCACAGTTCTAACATTGACCAAAGTAAGATCTCAAACTCATTAATAATTCATGAGTGAATTAGCCAACCATATTGCTTTATTTTGCTCACATGATAATACTGGATACCTGATGAAGTGTATTGATCCTGTCCTAGGACTGGATCAAAATGAATTCAGTCCTTGGACTGGATCAAAATTAATTCACCTCACTTTAAGTAGTGATATATTCGTACGAGATGTCATTTCAAATCCTCCAATTCGGACTGGACTAGATTTCAAGTCCTCGCATTTTAATCTATAGTCCTCGGCTTCGCCTCGGACTTGATCAAATTATGCGGACTTGAAATCTCGTCCAGTTCTCATAGTCGGATTTGAAATATTACATCTACGTCACTACAAAAGTATTATTTTATATTAATAATGAGATATATCAAGCACTTACTGTAGCAGAATTCTGTTGACATCAGAGTTAAAGAATTTACATTTTCCAGCCTCACCACCAGCTTTACGTGCGGCTTCGATCAATTTCTGTATGCTCAATATTAATGATGGTGGTAAACCATCTGGTAAGGTCACTGAGAGACTATTACTTAAACTGTTCTCATTCTCTGTACCAATAGAACTGTTCTCCACTGGAGTACTAGTCGGGTTATTGCTTGATACCGAATTCCGTAATTCAGTGATGCTATTTTTTTCAAGCTTTATTACTGGACTTTGAAGAGTGATATTTTCAATTGATAATGTTTTAGTTGGTTTGTTTCGCTGAGTAACGGTATCCGATGTTGTTTCTTTTGATTTGTCTAATTTCCCAGCATCAATATTCATTCGTTTCTTCAGTTTCTGTAGTTTGCTCTCTTTTTCGTCACTAAACAAGAAACGTTACTCAGTTCAGTAAATGAAAAGCTATACGGGAATGTATGGAGATACTGAGCATTCTTTAGGAGTCTTAGTGGCTTTGGTGGGGGATACTGTGGATGCTTTTAGATTAGCCAAGGTCAACATGCTTTTAAATCTGCCAAGGTCATTCACAAAGACTTACTGTGGAACAGTTTACCAATGGCATTGCGTAGCTCTAGTTCAACAGACAGTTCTAAAAAGGCTCTCAAGATATATCTTTTCGAAGCATTTGTAAATAGTGGCTCTTTATATTTGTAAATATGATCCATAACTTTTTAAATATTTTATAGTAATAGCTTATATGCTTTGTTATTTATTATGTACAAGCGCCATGAGCATAGAATATCATCATCATCACATGTTTTTCACAGCTGGCTACAATCAGTGGCCTCAGGTCCCAAAGATTTTAGCTTTCCAAGCTTCTTCTCAATATTCTTGCTGTCCCTAACAATGCTGTTTTTTGAAGAAGTTCTATTCTTATATGCATTCCCAATTTCTCAATCCAATTATACAGTTTATTACTAACTGCTCCTAAGGCATCTACTACAATTGGAATCACATGTACTTTCTTCATTGCCCATATTTTCCGAATTTCCGTTTTCAACTCCTCATACTTTTCTACCTTCTCTGTTTCTTATACCAATTCTACAGTCCCCTGGAACTGCGATGTCTGTGATCTTACACTCCTTTTCCTTCTTTAAACATTTCCTTCTTCGTCATTCAATCACATGATCGCACTGTATTATGACTATGACTATGACTATGACTATGACTATGACTATGACTATGACTATGACTATGATTAGGATTAGGACTATGACTAGGATTAGGACTAGGACTATGATTAAGACTAGGATTAGGACTATATGACTATGATTATTATTATGATTATTATGATTATTATTCTGCAAGGTTAGGTTGGTGGAAATGCTTTTCACATCTGCAACCGGCGTTGGATTCGTGTACAAGGTTGTCTGATTAAATAAGTTGGCCACAATCGCACGTTTACAGTTTGACTCTACCAAACACCGCAATGAAATTTACTTGGCATTCCAAAACGTCCAGAAAATCAAATGCAACAGGATGATCAATGACCGCTCTTGATTCGTGCATACGGTCTTGATATGCTTGTTTTGTAATATGGCCCAAGCTTCAACCGTGATTGAATGAAACTGATACAAAATCGTTAAAACCGAGTTTTTAAACATCTTGAGGTAAGAACCATTACTGTGGAAGGGAACGCCCCATTGCACGGTCCAGCCGTGCATTTTTGTACATACGTTTTGTTTCATTGCATGGTTTGAGTTTTCGTTAAATGCCATTCCATCAAAATCCTAATGTAATCGTAGCTCATTTAACCTAATTTTCATAATGGGGCCGATGGAATTGTATTCAAATACATAATTCGTACGAAATGGCTGGTGTAAAAATCTACTCTTTGTTTGCAATGACGTAATTTTGGGATTTCAGTTGACATGTAGGTTTTAACAAAAAACGGCTATTTTAATGTCTTGATCGAGTTTAGAGACAGTTTAAGACTCGAAAGATGAATTACCGTCTTGCTATACAACCAGTCTGATAGGAGAAAAATTGTCCACAAGAGTTGATTGCCAGTAATTTGGATGAAAAGTCACTTGATTGCAAACAAAGAATATTTTACGATAATGTTGAATTTTCATTCTGCACAGTGTAAAAATATTTGAAAGATTGCATCTTCCACCTCATAAAAGTATTTTTACCATTGCCCTCATAAACATTTATTATTTGTATTATACAATTTTTTTGCGTAAAATAGGTAATTGGACAAGTACTGGTGTAAGACGACATTGTGTGGCCTAAATAATTAGAAGGGACTAGTATTGGTTATTCTTTACTCCAATTCCTATGGTGAACATATACGTAATAAGCTATGGAAACTACGGTTATAGGAACTAAAAAAGGTGAAATTTCCATCTACAAAAACCCTTCAACACTCTCTTCCATTAAGCATCTCGCCCAACAATTTAGAATATTCACCCTTATACCACACATTAACAACACCCTAGTATACATACATAAACTTGTGGTTAGCACTTGGCAAGTGAAGTGGACTCTATATAGCTCAGTGGTCAGTGCTCCACACCGGAATCTCAGGGCCGCAGGTCCGACCAGGTCATAGTTTAATTTCTTGCATCTGCTCCTGCTTTGTTGTAAAATATGCACTGTATATATAGTAGTTTGAATAGTTTTCGCTCAAAATTTCCATGTGCAGAGACTTTCAACTATGCAAGACTCTACTTGGGTCATGTTTTCGAATATAAACGGTAAAACACTATTGTCACACTCATTTCACAAAATGTAAATTGTAACTAGAAACATACAGCAACTGTACACAGCTTCAATCTGGGTTTGAATTTTATCGGGGCAATCGCCGTAGAGGGAGAACAAAATGTCGTGTATTATTGCGGCAACGACGGCAATTTTTTGCCGTATAGTGTAATTTTTATACTACTCACTGTGCATTACTATGTTGATACTTGAATTCAAATGTTGATCAAATCATGCGTAAATTACTATTTTAGTCTTTTCTAGCTTGTCAACAATCCAAAGTAACAATAAACTAAATTTTTATTAATTTGAAAAAATGCCGTGGAAACTGCCAAAATTGCCGTAGACAGCCGCGCGTTCAACGACAATTTTTAACGTCATTGCCACAGAGTAGATAAGACATACAGAGACGTAACTGACCGTTGTAAACACTGCGGAAGATTACGTTATCATGTACCCACTTTTTTTCAGGCGATCGGGCGAAAAATGATCAACTGCGCGTGCTCAGCAAGTTTAAAGTGAGTCGTCATCAGGTCGTCATCCAATCAGATGCATGCATCTAGTAACTTGCCGAGCATGCGCACAAAAAAAGTGGGTACACTAGTTACGTCTCTGTATGTCTCTACTCTGTGCCATTGCCGTCGATTGATTTCAGGGAAATTCGAGGCCTGGCTTCAATACAAAACTGTGTCTAAATCAAATGAAAAATACTGATTTCACACCTATTTAATCTCATCTTTTTGGAGCTTTTTTCTTTTTCCGTACTTGAGAGACATCGTTTGCCATCCTTCAGTTTCTTCTCTTTATTTTCTTTATTTTTTTTCTATAAATATGCAGAATATCTCATTCAGCACAAAATTCAGCAGTCTAATCTACATGTATAATTACAGCTAGTATATGTTTTACTCTGTAGCTACATATATCATAAAAATACGATATTTTGAACATAATACCAGACAATAACAGTTACATCTACAGACAGCAACGATACATCTATAGTAAAGAGGGGGGTTGAGAAAATGTTCCTCTGGAAAACCTTTGAAGTTTACATTACTTCATGTCAGTATCTGTTCCAAGCTCATTCGAAATGTTTCAAACACACATGTATGGCTTTGTGAGTTTGTGCAGCTATGCTTCTTTACCTAACTATGACATTTTCATTCAGCCAGGTACACCATCAAATTGATCAAAATGTGAAATGTATAATAATAATGAGAATTGAAGCTATTTCGTTTCAGATATATTAATATACTTAGGAAAATAATTGAAAATAATTTCCCTTTTCTCCCAGAATTTGGGTGTCCAAAGGCGTCCTTGTTTTGTTCTTGGGGCGTCCCTCGCCACCTGGACGCCCTTCTGGCTAAAAGTGTGGTCCTGAGGAGAATCATTACGAAGAAGCATTTGCTACTTTATTATTTAATCAATTGAAGTTATAATCATTTTATAAAATTCTATTACAAATAAGACTGTCAATTTGAAAAAAAAACCCAGATTCATGCAAACATTAAAGTAGATTTACACAAACCTTTGGAGTTTTCTTCTTTTTGGGTTCTTTAAAATCACCATCACTGGAGAGAGTAAAATAATGAAGTAGAGGGAACGCATGCATTGCTGCTGATCATACAATGCAAATTCAAGATGCCATGTTTCATTACCTTTTCTCATCACCAGATGAAAGAGGTCTAAAGTTGAGGTCTCCCATATTGATATAGAATCCACCATGTTCTGTTGTCCAGTCTGCAGGCACAAGCTCATCATACTAGAACAAAACACAAACAAAAGTCATTTTGCAACCTCCAACAAATCTTACTAGTACAAGGCTGATGTGTACAATAATCAGTTAATCAATAATACAATTAACCAATAAACTGGAAAAAATACAGTACACGTTTTTTTCAAAACCAGCAAATGATGCATTTGCAGAAAATGATGCATTTGCAGAAAAAACTGCTATTTCAATCCTATCATGCTTACAAACTATGTTTGCATTTACAAACAGGAAACCTGAGATTTTGAAATTTTGTTTGGAAGTTTAATGATTTCCTACAAGTTCCATCATAATCTCTCTACTAAGGCCCCGTTTACATGAGACCGGGACGTAGTCAAACAGAATGAAAATTGAAATTGTCAACATGTTTACTTGAGACCGGTACAAAGATCACAAAATTTTCAATTTATTCCCCTTCCAAGACAATTTTCTTTTTCAGATAGCTTTTGTTAGCATGTGTTGTTCCAATGTCAAGGTTACAGCCGAGACCGGTCTGAAATGTATATTTGTGTTTACATTCATCCCGGTCTGAATTCATGCCGGTCTGAAGTCAGTCAGTTTGGTCCAGCAGGCGGAATGACTTGAGACCGGTCTGAGTTATTTTCGTCTCGGTTTCATGCAAACATCTATTATAGATAATACTATGACCGAAACGAAATGGTCCCGGTTTGACTTTGTTCCGGTCTCATGTAAACAGGGCCCAAGTCCCCTCCCATTGGCTTATTTTTTCAGGCACCTTTGAGGAAGTGGGGGACCTTATTGGAGGGGGTGGGGGACCTTATTGGAGGGGGTGGGGGACCTTATTGGAGGGGGTGGGGGACCTTATTGGAGGGGGTGGGGGACCTTATTGGAGGGGTCACTTAAAAGAGAGTACAACAACATTGGGATACAATGCCACTTAAAATATTGGGATGCAATGCCAATGGTTACACATCATAATTTAGGGTTATAAAATAATTTATATTTATAACATGTACCTCCGATATGTACTGACAATCACAGGTACAGTACAGCTAACTATGAGCTGCAGTAGAAATATAAAATTGAATAATACTACATACTGCTTCAGTATCATCAACAAAAGAATCTGTCACATCATAACCATATGTAACATCAACTAGATCCTTAAAAAAAATTTATTAACATATTTATTACCAGTTTATTAGGTACATCTATGACACACAAATTCTGTGTTTAACCCAACAAGTGCCTCCTCCCTCTCCTAACATTGTCTGGAGTTTCCTAAAAAGTTACTAACTTGATTGTAAATTGACCAATAAGAATTTTTGCTCGTTAAAATACCATTCATAAAAAAAAGCAAATAATTTAACAACAGTATTGTTTACAAATCAAGTGTAAATTGTGAATCAGACATAAGACAGACAATCAATGTCAAATGTTGCATCTATAATTATTTACACTTTAATAGATAGATAGCTGGATTATTATTATTATAATATTATATTATTATTGAAAAATACATTGCAGCCAGTAAGCTGATCGAATTGCATATTAAGAATAAAACTAGCATTAATAAACAAGAACTTTTCATATTTTTTTCTCAAAATGAAATAACAGCCAATCACCAATCAATGATCAGCAAGAAATTATTTATGATCGGCAAAAAAACAGGGTTTTCAACCATGAAAAATCATGACTGCTGATTGGGAACTTTGGAAACCTTATTTCAAGATCTGAAACAGAGTACAATAATAAACTAGGGTGCATCAGGGAGCAGGACCACTTAAAGTTTAAATTAAAGTCTTTCAATAACATGTCATGGCCAGTTGGAATTGTTACATAAATATGATTGGTCAAGTTAGGAACTTTATCAAATTCTTGAGGTATATTGAACAGATGAATTACTTGAAGTTACAAAATGAACTGATCAAATCTTTTGGAATGCTTCTATTGGCAAAACGTAAAGATGGTTGACACCGGAGGGCACCCCTCCCCCCCCCCTAAATAACTTCTGAAAGCCTGTGAATAATAACTGTGTAACAAAGTGTAACCATAATTTCCCCCCCCCCCCTAAATAACTTCTGAAAGCCTGTGAATAATAACTGTGTAACAAAGTGTAACCATAATTTTCAATCATGAAAGCATTGGTAGGCTACAAATAGGTAACTGTCTCAAATGCCTAAGGACCAGTGCTAGGGCTACAACTACACAAGGAAATTTGGTAGGGGTACCAATTTTATATGTACCATGTATGCAAAAAATGGAGCATGGTCTATTAAACAGCCTTTATAATGCTGACAATTTTACTAATGTAGGGGAAAGTCCTGGGTATTAATAGGTTAGAGGTAATCATTTGTTCTCTTTGGGCTCCTCTATGAGCCAGAATGACCCAGTAAACCAGCTATATGGCATCCCAAAGGTTCTATCATGATTATATTTGGTTCCAGACGAAAGTGGTAGAAGAGACATATATAATATCTGTTCCAAAGGACAGTGCAGATATACTGTAGATGTGAACCAGTGGTACATGGCAGGGCATGATTACCAGCCTGAACCTGAACCCCCCTCAGTTACACCAGATACAATTCCAATAAAATCACTAGAACCAATAGTCCGTTCGAAGATATCTAAGGGACTGATAAAAAAACTGGAGATATTGATTGAAACTTGTTAGGGAAAAAATGGTATAATATTTATAGTCAAGACATTAATATTTACATAGATTAGCAGAGCCCCTGAATGATGGGATGGGGCACCCCACTATATATAAAATGATATACAGACATTTTGTTTCTTGTAGTTTTGTATTTTAGTTTACTTATATGAAACCTTAATGGTATTACGCCTAATATAACAGCATGTGAGGAGGGCTAACCTGCCTCGATCATATGGTATTAGAAATCCCAATATAAGAAATTCCCAGCATGTGCATTCATACAAGACAAGAAAGCTCGGACTGATATCACCTCACTCAAATGGGAACCCAGCAAACTGTGTTGCCCGGTTCTCATGCTAGCCTGCAGGTTCATAAGAACAGCCCATTAAAAACCAAAACATACATACATGATGCCTAACTTTCATTTATGAATGAAGTGCAACATAAATTCCAGGGTATACAATGTACTGTACTTTGCAGACTGCCAGTCATGAAATTATTAATAATTGTTATGTCACACCTATATTGTATTTCATTTAATAATTGACCTTGGGTAAAACAATAAATTGATAAAGTTACAGTAGGTGATAAAATACCTGAACTCTGTCAATTTTATGTCCTTTACTTTTCTTAGCAGCACTCTTAGGACCCTGTATTATAAATGTTGTTTAAAAAACACACTTCATTTACAAGTTGCCCTCATGTAATTGGACCTCTATCATGGTAAAAGCGGGGTAACCAACAAACAAAGCAAATTGTTTGAAGGAGTAGAGGTACTCAAGCACAATAATTTTGTATAATTTTTAAACAAAACTAAGTACACAATTTCACAGTACACACAACATAAACTTACATATTTATCTTCAAATTTTTTAGCTAAGGCCCTTATTTCATCCACATTGCATTCTCCATCATGCAAAATGTCGTCGTCTTTCTTCTTATTTTTCTATGTGAGAACAAATACAGCGTTTAACACTCGTTGTTCTACACATTGACTTACTGAAAACAGATAGTCACAGACTTACATTTGTGCCAAGAAGTTCTAAATATGAAAATTCAGGGAACGACCGGTCGGTAGAGTCAGTTAATTGCAGATTAAATCGTACAGATACACGTTCTTTGATTTTCTCTTTCTGTGCGAAATTTTTGGAAGACTCCGTTTTAGATTTATTTTCAGCTTCCATAATATTTGGGAAAATGGCGGCGTTACGAAACTGTTCGTAAACCGGCTTCTCCGCTCCATTCACATTTCGATAAAATTTTTGCTGTGACCTCAGACCAATCTGCACTTTTTGCATTTGCGCATGCTCAGATCGTATCTGAGCATGCGCAGTAAGAAATATCGCTAGGAAATCCTTGCAAATGTTGAATTCAAGGTCTTCGCTCAGAAGCGACGTATTGCGAGGAATCGCTGCAAATTGTACTATTCAAACCAAACTACCGCTAAATCTGCATTATTTAAACAAATAGCGTACGATCGAACAGATTATAACAAAAATATGTTTGAAGTATTAAAACATGGTATTTTCAATCGTTAACAGTCGTCTAATTTGGCAAAGACCACTATTTTCACAACTCAAAATGGCGATAATACAGCGAGCGGGTTCGACATCTTTCCTGCCCACACTAGTCCCCCGACGCGTGTCGCCTCGAGCGAGTAGCTATAGCATGTTTCTTTCAAGTCCCTCATTGTTCACGCAAACAATTTTGAAGCGTTACGTGTAAATGACACGCACCGCTTGTAGCGAATCAAACTGCTTTTCATATTAATTTTTGTGACGATAAATGCCCCAGAATCGTTGTTATGGTAATAACCAATAATGATCATTGACAAACCGGATGTTTATGTCAAAAACGCCCGCAATACCACTTAAGTGAAGTAACATGAAGTATGCAGCTTAGTATGAATTGTCAGCAGCAGAAGTGCCAATGATCTCTCCTTTATTGAGTACTGGACTATAGTCGACTATTAATTATTAAGTCGAGAGCAAGAACGAATTTTGGGGAAATCTAACCCACTTTTAGGAAAGCAATGCGACGCTATGAATGTCATGAATCAAATCAAGGTCAATTAATGCATTAGGATTTACGACGCTATGAATCAAGGTCAATCAATGCACCATGTAATCTCAAAATTAATATGGCAGATTAGGGACGGACCATTAGAAAAGTGATGGGGAGGGTGGGGAAAAACAGAAAAAAAATCCATGCAAACAAAAAGGGTTTAAAAAAAATACATGCATCAGACTTGTTTAAAATGCGAGAAGACATATTTTTTAAAAAACATACATACACAGCTGACAACCTGGAAAAAAATACAAACATAAAAAATTTACCCCCCCTCATCACTTTTCTAATGGTCCGTCCCTTACAGTAACTTCATATACAGCTATTTCAATTAAGGTTGTCCCCCGAGCAAAGCGGAAAAGTCGAATACGAGCGCAAAAGGCTGCTGGGATTCGGTAATAAATGAATGAATTTATTAGCGATTCCCAGCAACCTTTCGCGCTCGTCTTCGACTTTTCCGCTTTGCTCGGGTGACAACCTTCATTGAAATAGCTGTATACACTCGAGAAAGTAGTTTCAGACAAACGAATTATTTCTGCATCAATTTAAAAAAAATAAATATCAAGATAATGGAAACTTATGAAACTCATACAACAAAGCACGCAGTTGCTAAAAAAGGGTTGTACAGCTAGATTAAAATTAATAGTGGGAATAGTCTCAGAATAAACTTATCAGTACTTTTGGTTGTCACAGTCATTTTTCCGTGCCATTCTAATGTCTGGGTTATTTGTTTCGGTTTTTAAACATGCACTCTCATGTGCACAGCGTTGGGGGTGATGCTTTCCTGTATATATGGGGGGGAGGGGGGGGGGAAGATGAAAGTTTGCCCCAATTTTTATGGAGAATTGTAATGAAATAACCTGAATTGAAATAACCTTGGTTTCCATGGTTTTCTAAAGGTGTTTTATTTTAGGGGAGGGGGGGGGGGCTGTTGCCAGCCCCCTGTCTCATGCGCCTATGCCGAAATTCCTCAATACATAAGAGACAACGCTATATATATCAAAAAGTATAGTGAGTAAATGAACGGAAAACTTATGCAGAAAAAGTTAATGTTGCACTTTTTGGACAAATATGGTACACTACTTCAATGCTCTTTCCCAAATAGAAGTTTTTTAGCTGCTTCAGGGGGAGGGGGAAACTGGGATACTATGACATTATTTTATGTCAGTAGGGAAATATAATCTGTCAAAATTAATCAGCGCATCTGCATGGCATGGTAGATCATCTTTGATATTTACTAGTAACGAAAAACATAAGTCTGTTACTGCATGAGCACCAACAGAATAAAATAAACTACCAACAGAATAAAATAGTACAGTGGCAGTGTAATTTATTCATTTATATTATAGGTTAGGTATATATACTTCACAACGCCAGCATATAACAGTAAACACTGTAATAAAACGGCATGTCCAGTAGAGTAATAGCGTCCTTGATAAATATTCAACGCATTCATGCATGACATCATACGTCCGGACAGCAGGTCGATTTTCTACTTGAACAAACACATACTGCTTGGATAGGCGTATTCCTTATCCCAATGTCAATTATTTTTGTGCATTTTCAAATATCAATGACTTGAAAACGCCAATTTGTCTGAAGTTAAATTAGCTGAAGATGACCAATACATATGTTCTTTTGTCATTATTTCTTGGGCTGGCTATTGAAGCAGGTATGTTGATATATACATCATAGTTGATATAATTCTTTATATATAAATCGTCGCGTGTTTTGAGATAACATAAAAGTTGATATATACATTATAGTTGATATATTCTTTTTAATTTTGTTTCCAAACGGCTAAATTCAGTTGTTGGAAGCATTTTCATTTTTCACCTATATCCTTTATATATATATATATATATAAAGGACACGCAAGTTACGATGATTTCTTGGGGTGAACTTCACGCATGAGAAAGGACGAACAGGGCGTTTAATTAGATTGTACAACTTTATGCACTACTCATACTACACTGAGTTAGTATATCCATATGTTTGAGTCCACTGTTTTTCATGTCATAAGTGGTTAATATAAGTGCTGAGAACATTGACAGTTAATTGTGCAGTCTCCACATATGCTTAACTGTGTCAATGCAAATTTCATTGAGATATTACTCTAAGTTGAGCTTTTCACACTGTTGAAATGAACTCAAAAAAGCCGTTCTCAAGTTAAATTTCAAAATTTGCATGTAACATTTATTGAACCTCAAAAGCATAGGGAATACTCTTTCCAAATGAAATTTGAGAAACTTAAAGTTTGAAGAATGAAGAGTAACATGCAGTCAGGTCGCGAAAACACCACAATTATATAGTTGTGTAAAGAAATCAAAATGGACAAAATCTATTGATGAACAAATTAAGGTTTTCTTGATTTCCTATATAGGTATATTATGAATTTTTAAATAGATTTGCTTGTTTTCCATTGATGAAGCCTTAAAGATGATATAGTATATTAATTAAGTAATATTCCATATATTGTTGTTTTCCTTGGACGTTCCAGAAAATGCCAGAGATGTATAGTCATTGTGCATCAAAAATTTTAAACATCTGGCGGAGAATCGCTATAGACCCTAGCCAGTGGCGGAAATCTTGGTGGGGCGGGGCCCCCCCCCCCCCCACCTTCACGGAAAATTGACGAATTTTCGGAAATTTTGACCTAAAAGAGGGCTAAAAACCGTCTTTTCGAGTGCAAATGGGGGGAGGTATGTCGGAAATTTGAAAGTTTTGTCGGAAATTTAGGAGGCTTTGCCCCCCACCGGAAAAAGTGAATTTCCGCCACTGACCCTAGCCCTATTTTCTTCACAAATCCCTGACGTGCTGGGGCAACGGAACAAAGGAGATCGATAAAGTTGGGACAAGCAAATCTCCCCAAAAGAGAATGGAGTGGGAGAACTTATACTTCGCTGCTTGAAATGCAAATTTAAGGCCAAATAATAATATATTGAATAGTCATGATCCCCCGTGGTTATTCATGTATATTGGACATTCACGATTCCCAGTTCTTGTGGGCGGTAGGGTAAAGCAAATTAAAAATCTAATTCAGGTAAAAAATATTTTGCCCCCTTCCCCTGCCCCCACCGGTTAAACACCCGATGCTTCGTAACATCCCTTTATGTGCCGTTCTAATTTTTCTCCAGAAAAACCTGAAAGAGTGCATTTCAAACGTTATGGTTCTTAATTAAAAATAAAACAATTCAGTTTGATTTTGATACACTACGTACAAGCTTTTTAGCTCAGTTTTATTAGTTCAAATCTCTGTCGATTTCTATCTTTCTCAGTAATGTTTGACTTGTCATCGGTATAAATATTCAAGGATGGAAACAAAACCATTCTCACTAAACCAATATTCCCATATATTATTGTTGCTAGTAGTAAGTATAGATTATAAGAAGGCTGCATAAGTTGGTATGCTACCTTGTATATCTGTAACAATTTAGTATAATTATTTTTAGCTTTGGCAATCCCCACTGGACGACATGCAAATTTGGAACACAAAATTACAAAAAGAAATTTTGTTCCCAACCGATTTGATATTGTAGACAACGAAATAAAGCGTAAGTAAAAATGAATGAAGATTATAAAACCTGTTCATTAATTTAAAAAATGTTCATATTGAAGTCGAAGACTATTTTGAAGTGAAGTTCCTAATTACTAAATTAGTAGGAGCATTTGTTAGACTTGTTAAGACTTAAGGCATCGCAGAAAAGTAAACGTTGTTGCGTTCGTTTCGATCTCATTTTTGCATATACTACAAACTGAGACAATTTTAAAATGTTTTCTTTTACATAAAATTCATTCATGATAATTATGGATTTTATTAAAAGTACCAAATTTGGACAGATATATGATAAACACATATAGGCTACTAAGTAATGATTGAATATGGACCTCATCGGAATCTTTCAGTTTAGTGTCATTTTTCCTATAAAAGTACTATATTCTTTAAGAAGTGATATCGCAAAAAGGGTAAATATAAGATAGTTAGGAGAGTGTATAACTTGTATAGTGGTACTACTTTCTATAACTCTGTTTCGAATAGAGGTGTGCAGCGCATCGGGTCCGATTGGTTGATCCGAGTCCGACTGTATATCACCTGTGATCTAAAAAAGCATTATATATGTGTCTTCTTAAAATTCCAAAATCTGAACCATAATTGTGAAGCAAATGACGGAAAAAGTAAAGTGGTGGATCAATTGTGTTTTCGCGGGTGTATCACATAGCCTGCAGTTGCAAAAATAAATCCAATTCGATCCGCGACCAAAAAACTACAAAAACCAACCAGACAGAAAAACAAACAAAATCCGATCTAGACGCGTAAAATATTTTCTGATCGGATTCGTAAATGAAGATGCTGTTGTTTTATTTTTGTTGTTGTTATACTTAATTAGGGATTTTATTTCAATTATTCCATGATAATCGATTCATAAATGAATAAAAGGACTTCGTGTACGTGTATCTTCATGCTGTATACAGCCAATTCAAAAAAGGTTGTCCTTTGAAAAACTTTAAACTCGCAAAACTTAATGAATAATGGGAACACAAGTTTCAAGCTTAGTTATATAGTTCAAGCTTAGTTATAGTTGAATATTGCAGCTATTTGTGAATGAACTGTTCTCGTAAGGAGATATTTACTATGTCTCTGAGAAATGGGCCCCTGCATGCATGTGTCATTTCTAAACTGCATGATTAAATTATGCTCCCATTATGCTTTGCACGCTTAGAATTTAAGGTTTAGAGTTTAAGGTTTTTCAAAGGATAACCTTTTTTGAATAGCTGTATATATACCCATGCTGCATAAGCGTACAGGGGACAGTTGAATGTTTGCCCGAATTTGTAAGGAGGATTGAAATGAAATTAAAATACGCATTAAAAATTCATAAACCTTATGGCAAATCATGTCAGCCATAATATGTCACGTGGAGTGACTTTATATCCGAAAAAACTAATCTTCATTAGTATTCTTTATATAATTGTTCATCCTAAGTAGTGTATGATAATATAATTGTTCATCCTATATAATTAGTATTCTTTTGTAGTCGCATTTTAAACTATTCAAAACACTCGAACTCGCGTTTTATCATATCTAAAACGCTCGGCTGCACCTCGCGTTTTAAATATGATAAAACACTCCTTCTCGTGTTTTAAATACTACTTAACATATTTATTCATTTGACATATGTTCTGATATATTTATTTTTCTGGATGTGGATCTCGTACGCTTATATATACCAGTATTTTGCTTGCTTGTTTAGATGCGATCCAAAAAGAAGTTCAAAATGCATTAAGAAAGAATTTTGTTCCAAATAATCCTCTTGTGGAAGGTTGGTATAGTCAACTAATTAATGCAATTTATATTTCAATTTATTATATAGGCTTATAGCTCAAAATCTAGAATCAAATTCATTATTTCTACCTGCATTATTCAATGTTCCTACCTTGAACATTTCTAAAATACGGGGGTGGAGGGAATGACGGACCAAATATTAATTCCAATTTTGTTTCAAATATTCCTATTCCTTTTCTGAATATTCCGATCTTCCTACCCTCAATATTCATATTCCTGCATACCCCAAATATAGTATATTCCTACCATAAGTATTCATACCCTCATATCGAAACTACTTTAAAACCTGGCCAGTATTCAATATTCCGCTTCCACCCAGATCCTTTTTGTGACGTATAAGGAACAGGGCCGTAGCAACCGGGAGGGGGGGGGACTGGGGGGCTTCAGCCCCCCCCCCCAATAATTTGTAAACTAGTGATAATCTGTAAAGTTAGAGAGGGAAATAATGACCTAATAATCGCCGCTGACTAATTAGCCCCTCCCCATACAAAATTGCTTCCTACGGTAGTGAGGAAGAAAGCAAAGAGTGGCTGATGAAGTTTTAAAACTGTCCTATATTCACCACAAACCCTCAAGTGTCGATATAACGCTTACTTTGAATTGCTGTGTACTAATTATAATTATTAATTTTCAGCGAATAAATGGGGAAGATCAAGTTCATCTCGATATCCAGAAAACCAACCAACCATGATTTATGGTATGGAATATGATCAGATTAATCCCTCGAGATCAGATCCCGGATATTTAGTCCTGGACTTGAAGAAGTTGGCGCAAGGTAGTTTGAAATTTCATGAACAACAACTTGGCAGTCAAAGAAGAAAGTCGAAGCCAAAGGCAGCCCCAAAACCACGACAACAACCACCCAGATATAACAACCCAGGACAATATCAGCAATATTACAATAATAATGGTTATCAACCAAATTATCAAAATTATCAACAACAAAATTATCAACAACAAAATTATCAACCTCAGTATGCAATGCAAGGATAAAATTAAGGCTTTGTTGCAGTGAAAATCTGCATAAAATTACATATAGATATCCAAATATACTTATGTGATTAATATAATATTATATAATATTAGTTATAATATGTAATATGTTTGAGGCAACGAAGGGATATGTGATTTATTCACCGAGGCGCGCACTTCATCAAACACTCCTCAATGTGAAATGCATGCGCAAGGACAGTATTACAACTTTGTTTGAATGAATCTGGATGAAGTACACTATTCACAAACTCTAAATATACATTCGATATGAGTGTGCGAATAGAGACGCGAGTGCAATTCCAGTTTTTAATTTACGCAGGGGGTGACGGGAAGTAAGGTGTCATGTTGCTGACTATGCTGGAAAATTTCAATAAAAACTGCCGAAACATCCGAAATATTTCAATATTTACAAGTATAAGCTATCACTCCGTGTTTACACGGCCACCATTTTTATTTTTTTCAGCATAATCAGCAATATGATACCTTACTTCCCACCCTCCAACCCTCCACTGCATGAACGCTGGAATTGCCTATTACCGAGACTTTCGTGCGAGGAATAGTTAATTGCATGGTAGCTTCTTCTAATTATGATGTATATACTGTATATATGTATCCATAAGTAACAAAAACACTATTTAACCTTTGTATACATATTCTACATACGAATAAAAATAAGTAAAAAGAAACAGATATTAAACGCAATATAGGTGCGCAAAGTTGTTGTTGTTGTTGTTGTTGTTGTTGTTGTTGTTGTTGTTGTTGTTGTTGTTGTTGTTGTTGTGCAAAGTTACAAAAATTCTTGAGAGTAACAAGTAATTAGATTTTAATCAGGTGATCTAGAAAATAGTTTCTCTGGAATCATTGTTATAAATATTCATAGACGTTTGTAAAACATAAATACGAAATGCAACCATATTTATGGTTCTACATATGTTATGCAATAAGTGCAATTCAACTCAACTTTATAATTTGTACCACTTTTTACTACTATTTGTACTACCTTTATTCTCAGTTCAGAAATTACTGTACAAGTATCCAATGAAACTAAATTTCCATTTTACGTTTTTTCCTCTTCCCCAACAAACAGATCATATCCCACAAACACTCTTGAAGGATCAAACCTTTCATCATATTATACCATATTATATCAATGACGTTTGATCCTTCGTATCTAATATCTTCACCTTATATACCTAATATCGTTCTACTCTTATGTATGACGTCACATAAAGGATGAACACTACATGTATGGACGATAACATCTAGACAGTTCTCTTGAGTAATGTATTATGTACAAATATTTTCATGAGTTCCAGCATACAGTATGATTACAGATGAAGGTTAAAGTATTACAGCTTATCTAGCGTTTAAATACGAGAGACGTACTCAAAGCATGTTTGTGTTGATTCATCAGAAGTGTCATAAGTCAAATAATAACGAGATGCAGGAATACGAGTGGTCTGCCCACCACTATAGTTTGCATTTTGATATACACCAATCGAAGATTCCACATAACCACCTGATTAAAAGAAAAACGTCATTACATGGCCAGTTATATAGACTACTTTTTATTCCCCTGAAGAGAGCTCGGAAATTGAATCATTGTGTCATCACACGTATACAAGATGTAATATTTCAAATCCGACTATGAGGACTGGACTAGATTTCAAGTCCGCACAATTTGATTCTAGGACTTGAAATCTGGTCCAGTCCGAATTGGAGGATTTGAAATGACATCTCATACGAATAAATCACTACTTAACGTAAGGTGAATTACTTTTGATCTAGTTCAAGGACTGAATTAATTTTGATCCAGTTCTAGGACTGGATCAATACACTTCATCAGGTATGCAGTATTATCATGTGAGCAAAATAAAGCAATATGGTTGGCTAATTTACTCATGCATTATTAATGAGTTTGAGATATATTAATGAACCCCTATTTTAAAGCAATCGCCAGCTGCCGGTTAGTGCTATCCACTGGATGGTGATTGTCTAAAATTGTCCGTGGATTGGTATAACCCAGATGGTTAAACTTTATAGAGTTCATAAATTAAAATTTCGTTTTATTAATTGCGAAGTTTATAGCAGTATAGTGATAGCTTTTCAAGCATTTTAGAACGATTGAAGAAATCACTATCAGGGATGCCTGAGGAATAGTTCATGCTCTCAGTTGACTTGCAATATAGCTCGATCTATGTACTGTATGTATACAAGTATTCATGCATATATCAATCAAAGTTTTTTTCTCAAATTTCAATGCAAAATGTTGGTACAGCAATTAGGATATATACATACATCTCAAACTCATTAATAATTCATGATAAATTAGTCAACCATATTGCTTTATTTTGTTCACATGATAATACTGGAAACCTGGTGAAGTATATTGTTACAGTCCTAGGACTGGATCAAAATTAATTCAGTCCTTGGACTGGATCAAAATTAATTCACTTAACTTGAAGCAGTGATTTATTCGTATGAGATGCATGTCATTTCAAATCCTCCAATTGGGACTGGACTAGATCTCAAATCCTCGCATTTTGATCCAGTTGCGCGGACTTGAAATCTAGTCCAGTCCTCATAATCAGATTTGAAATATTACTAAACAAATCACATGATGAAATATATTCTAAACAACTACTTGACACTAACCTGGGTTTGACATCTGTGCAGTATTGTAAAACCTTGAATCGTGTTGTTCCTTTAGTTCATGGGACCAAGAGTCGATCAACTGAATATAAATGTTAAGAAAACTATGTTCTTAAGAAGAAGTATATCATGTTCTTGGCTTATAACACACATGAATATAAAATAGAATATTAATAGATGATGTAAATGAGATACGCATATTCAACTTACATCAATTATTTTATGTTCTGGTAGAACTGGTTCATTTTCTTTGATGGTTTTGACATAACTTGAAAATGCTGCCTTTTCTACAGTAAAGGAATATGTACTCAGGGGCGAAACTTGAGGTGGGTATGGGGGGGGGGGGGTTGGAACCCCCAAAATACGAATCATCTCGATTGGCAGGACAATCAAAGATTTTAAATGATAGAATGTAGAGTTATTAAGTAACTTATTACAGCTAGCAAACAATAAGCAGTTCGTATGCATGTACATATTGGCATCGGCAGTTCAATTATACACATAGCTTAGTGATGTATTGTATTAGCGCTAGCGCTTCATGCTGCATAGTCTCCCTCGCAGACGTTCTTGAGGGTTAGAGCTATAAGAACGTCTGCGAGGGAAACTACATGCTGCAGGGCATCATTGATTTTGGCAGGGCAATTCTGCCAGTCACCCTCCGAATTTAAAGGGGCTAGCTTCGCCCCTGTATGTACATGCATATGTACTAAATTTTAAAATATACTTTAAGTGTATTAAGTGTGTTAAGCTGCTTAAGCAACATGCATCGGTTGCCCTAAACCAATGCCCAATGTAAACGTTGACGGAACAAGACGCGATTACAACAACGTTCACTTCCGCATTGAACTAAAACATTTTTAGTTTCTAGCAGGATGAATTTCAGTCTTCTTCAGATTAATGTCAAGAATAAAATTAGCTCATTTCTGGCCAAGTGTTACACATAACAGATATAGGGTTAGGGTTTTGCGGATATGAATGAGCATGCAACCTTGTTCCCAAGTGAGATCCTGCAGTGGTACAAGTTGATGAATGAGAGCCATAATGATAACATACCTGTCTGACGTTCGATTGAAGAGCAGCATTCACTTCTTATGTGCAGTAACGGAGGAGGGTTTTCAGAAACAGGTCTGGCAAAAGAACGATGTGTCCACACACTCTGCAATACAAATCTATTGATTATTATTACAAATCTATTGATTATTATTACAAATCTATTGATTATTATTACAAATCTATTGATTATTATTACAAATCTATTGATTATTATTACAAATCTATTGATTAACGTGACTATAGCTATATCTCGTTATATCTTTTAATTTTTGTTTTATTTTCCCATGTACATTACAATTATTAATGACTACTGTCAGAGTCAACTAGACTTACCGTAGAATTTCGGTCTAATTTAATTCGTGGAATTTACTTTTTCTCATTTTATTCGACGGAGTTTTGGGGTCAATTTGTATCAATATTATGCGACTAAACACCTGTCACGACAACGTCACACTTAATGTGCGCTTCGAATATTACAAACCGAATATAAAGCGTCCAATTTTCGCAAAGAAAAAAATCAGCAGCATTATTCCATTAAATTAATTCAATGAGAATAAATTCGACGGAAATTCGACGTCTAAAACAAGCTTTATGGTGAGACCAAACGTATAGATATGAAGAATATGGGGTAAGCTAAGCTATATTTGCTCTATCAGTTTATGGTATAATTGAGTTCTCAGACGTCTCCGATTTCGTGAACCAAAGCACTAGCTGCAGTTATAAACTAAAGACCATGTATAGCACTGAATTAAGCTAACACACAGTAAACTAAACCGTTATTGGAGTCTTTAATTCTGATATAAGAAATGGGAAGAACTACATATCATATTTCAATGAATTTTAAGATCGCGACAACGATTTTATAGTGCATGCATATATATAATTAATATATATGAAGAATCAAACCGTTGAAAAACAGTTATTAAACAATACATCCAGAAATAATGAAATAACTGATATTTAAGATCCAAAGATAATTAAATGATAACTAAACGGTAAAAAAGTTACACGAGAGATATCTTAAAAACCTGCATCTGATTATTTTATCCTAACAATTTCAGATAGTACTATAAAGTACTATACTGGTGTGAATTTTATCAATGACAATGTAAAATTCTACCTTGCCAACTTGGACCATATTGGGTTCTTCAATATATTTGAGGTGGGAGGTCGAAGCTAAATTGATGATAATTAATATAATTAGAACAGTTATCACCAATATAATGAGTACGAGATAACAAAAACGCCAAACGTTTTTTTACGTTCTTATGCTTATCAATAAAAATTGCGTACGATATATGTCACCTTTTAAACGAAATTATAATTATACAGCGAAATTAATGCTAAGGGTCCTTTCGATTCGATGTTTGTGTACACTAGGTTTCACCAAGCACTATCGTGTAACAGATGGTGATTATAATCGGCAGTTATCAGAATTAAATTGCTGGGTCAGAATGTTTTCCATTCTTGCATTTTGATCTATAAATATGTATAAATACTTAGATTTCGTCTTCGTCACATGCAATAAAATGTTATCTATATAAAAGTGATAAATTCAGTCTTAAGTCCAATGAAATTGAAATTTTTGGTACAAAGTGGTTGGTAATGTACATACTTTTATATACAGGTATTCAACTCCCTACTGAGTAATGAGAGTAAGTTATCGAAAGTAAAGAAACAAACTTCAAGCATGGAATCCCTGCATGCATGTTTCACTTAAATATAGCTAATAACCGGATCTTGTCAGTTGTATAACACTGTCATTGGTTAGCCGTTTCTGTAGTCATTTTTTCATATTATTATCGTTAATGATTCTTAAGTTAACCGTGATTATTACAATAAATGGTCTATGCCTTATGGCCAATGCAGCCCCCAATAAAAATAGGAACTACATGGTTCTCGCGATATTGGTCAGTGACATTACGTTTTCCTCACATGCGGCATTGAAGTATATTAGTTTCCTTTTCGATTTGTTTGTTTAAAAACTGTAATTTCGTCTGCATCTTTAGTGTTGACTGTTTTGCAATGTTATTTTTTCACTGTGTTATCCAATAAATGTATTGTACATGTATGGCTGTATATAAGCATATGATTATAATTATACCAAGAAATACGGGCTACATTGTATGCGGAAAGAAACAGTTTGTTAAATATATTTACAAATAAGAAGCTATATACACTTTGTCTTTAACTGCATTGTTGTCTTAATATTTGCCAAATAAATTAATTTGGACATGATTAGTGAATAAAAAACAGGAAAAGCAGCGTTTAAATAGTGTTTCGGGTGTGTTATAAGTACATGCCTGCATTTTGATGATGTGCATATATATAGAAGGAAAACATTTAATGGAAAATATTCTTTACTGAAAACCAATTTAGAAAATAATTCTGCATGTAGAAAATTAAAACTGCAAAAATGAAGATAATTTGCTTTACCTTGATATCCAGGAACATCTCTCATTCGCGAGCTAGCGCGATTTCTTCTTCCTTGTTTTAAAACATGAGGTCTCATGTGGAAAACTTTTTGGGCTTCGTTGCCACGAGTTTCACGCTCTGAAACGATCTCCTGGATGTCTGGTAATGCATTTAATGCACACCTAAAGTTTGCCTTCCACACTTTGGGCTGCTCTTGAGGAGTTTCACCAGGTTTAAATTTCCCAGAGTAAATTGCCCATTCCCTGAAAACACAGCCATCTAATTCTGATGACCAGCCGTGTTTTGATGCATGTTTCCAACGAATTTTAAAAATCTTGTTCTTACGATCCTTCCATTCTAATCCACGAATGTTGTTTGCGTTCAAGTTCTTTTCCAACCAAACACGTAGGGAATCTCGTTTTCCTTTCATGACTTGCTCCAAGTTGACGTAAAACTGACACGAGAGCACCAAAACACTTTCTTTTATTGCATGTCAATCAACACCTGGCAACCTCGTGGACGTTACGGTTTTTTTTCTGCTAAAAGCTTGTAGAAAAGGTCAACAATAAAAACGAAACCATCTCTTCAACGTGTTTTCATTTCGCATTTAAAGATCAGCATCCATGCAGTATACATGCAAGCACGTGTCGGCACGTCAGCCACTTGATTTGTTAATTTGCTGGCGGTAACCACATTCATGCTTGTGAAATATATACTATTGTTTCGAAAGTGAAAAAAAAGGACACGTTCAGACATGCGAAAGTGCACGGACATCATGCATGTTTAGTATAGCATGAGGTCAGGGAATTCATGTTTGAAAACCCTTAATTTATATTCACTGCAGTAAAATGTTCTTGTTTTTCTAATATCAATAACATCATCATAATTATCTCTTATCAGCTTGAAGCAGCAACTATAAGATAATTAATTCAGCAAACAAAAGTACAGCGGAAGATAGAATTTTGCTGACGGGAAAAACTTGGTCTACAAGGAATGCCACAAAGAGTGTGTTCCATGTATTACAAGCAGGTGCACTGAATTATTCATGAATAGGATTGATAACTGGTTTTTTTTCGTGCAGTTTGGTGACAGTTTCTGTATATACATACCGAATATGCTAGACAGGATGTTGAAACAAACAATCGATGATTGTTAAATAAACTTAAGTCTCGTGCTTGTGGTTTGATCAACAATGAAGTGTGCCACCTTTCATTTTCATACTTAATGTTCCCCACATCACGTCAAGTCTACACAATAACTACCTTCGTAAATCATCATTGCCCAACTTATCTTCTGTCTTTGGTCTTTATCTATAAACAGCAACATTAGGTTTGTGAAGATTTTCTTGAGAATTCTAGCATATGCTGGACATATAGCAAAGTACTGCTCAATTATTGACCCACTTCATTAGCCAACTCAATAGATGACGGTTAATTAACATCAAACAAACTTGTTATTATTTGTCACTTAATGTACAGTTTATTGCAAATTTTCTGATTACTCTCTGATAACAGAGTCAATGAAGTTTTGAAAATGCAGAGTTCAAGGGATTCAGCCTGTTATATACCCTTATAGTGAAATGCAAAGTTGTCGTAGTCAAGTGCCGGGGACTAAAATGATACATAATGCTAGAAAAAGAAATTCAAATCCGATTCTGGTTCCAATATTTCCGGGTTTACAACAAACCCCGGTGGTCTTAATGCATGTGTTTTCCAAAACGCATCATAAACGCATTTCGAAAAATCAATCTGTAATTAACGTTAACTGGAATTCAAGGAGGAACAAAATACTACTCATTCGACTCAATGTGAAGAAGCTGTTAGTGTCGTCTACTTATACCCAAAAAGGAATAAATTGCTTACTGTATTGACTATTTCAACTTTGAAGAACAACTCAAGTCTCGTATTTCTCGAATTGATTATATTGCGGAAAAGAATGATTGCATGTCATATAATTAATAACTATATGTAGATACAAATAGTTCACTTATACTTATGTTATTTTAGGCCCTTCTGCACCCTATAACTCTTCAATTTCCGTCTCGATATTGCAGAATACTTGTTTTGGGTGGGAACGCAGGGTTGATCGTCTGCGTTTGCCCGCAAAACCAAGTATTGCCAATTTGTATAAGTGGTGCTTGGTGTGACAATTTCACTCCCAACTGAATTTGAGTATAAATAGAGCGAGTAGATTTTTACTTGCGATAGATTTTGCTTGATATTGACATTTGGTACTGAGTCCTGAGGCATTACGTTCCTGTTACACTGCTTTTGATACTATAGAAGGTAAAATAGCTCTTCCCATGCAACAGATGAGGAAATATAGTAAGTTTCATTATAGTGTAACCATCATGTTATAACGTTTTGCTGAAACAACTATTTTTATCAATTAGGTCATGTATACAGTCAGTTCTTGTATGGCTGAACACATATAGAATGGTTGCTAATCAGATTATTCAACTCCTTCAACAAAAACCACTATACTGTGATGTCAATTGAATGCAATCCAAACCTTGCGGAACAATGTCAATATAAAAGATGTTTATTATTAGCCACTTGAATATAATAATATTCCTATATCACACAAGATCCAATATAAGACTATACAGCGTATACCTCCCTTTTCCTGATTCAATAAGTAAGCACATGTTAACTTCAGAAACTGAACGTTTTCAATACGATCCAAATCTCGTTTATAGATTCATAAATATAGAATCCAAAAACACAATAGAGCTGAAACGTTTCCACACGCTCCTACAGTTTATAGGGTAAACTCTAACCGAGAAGTATACTGGCAAAGTTATATGCTTCCAGACATTGTATATCTTGATTCATTTCTTTATTAACAATATTTCTTATATGTGCATGCAAGTATAGGTTAGCAACATGCAAAGACGGCTTTTGCTCTATCAAGGTTATATTCAGATAACTCTAACTAACAAATATTGTAATAAAGTATTTTAATACCATAATCCATATTAAAATATAGTTAAGATCAATATTATCGGCATGTTTTCTCATCGTTGTTTTATGTAAATGTCGACTGGGAAATGCTATATTATTATTTAACAATGTTAAAAACAATTATATATAGTGTATAATAATTAATATGAGAAATATGAAACTCAGACAAATACGAAACTGATGATTATATATACATGGATTCGAAAAGTGATTGTCAGTGAACTCTTGACTATAGCCTCCTCCACAGACAACACACACCGTGTACACCCACCCACGGTTTACTAAATTTCCTGCGCCACAGGCAGACCCGATGCAAGAAGTCACCGTGCAGCCTACAGAGAAGGCTAGCTCTTGACTATATATAGGTGAGTTCCAACGTATATCTGTATTGGTCGCATAAATTCACCAAATCTTTCGGAGACCTTTATATGATCACCATGGAACTTCAAATTTTGCATGCTCTAAATAAGATAAGATCTAAATTTTTAATCAATCACCACTGGACTATATATATATATATATATATATATATATATATATATATATATATATATATATATATATATATATATATATATATATATATATATATATATTTATGTTACTATAGTTATATAGTAGAGAGTGAGATACTGAGAAATACACAGTGACATAGTTTCCATATCTTCACTGTAGTGAAGATATCGATCACGTGACTTTTAGTATTTATACAATTTTTTGCTTGGGACTATATAATAAACAGAACATTACGCTTGAAAGATACGACTTTTATCTTCTCGTGTTGTTTTCACCTATTGTTTTCACCACTCGAAGATAAAAAGTCATATCTAATTCGCGCCGCCGTGTAATATCCTCTATATATAAATGAAAACTATGGACAAGAGCCAAAGGAAGTCTGAGAAAAAAGATATTGACAATTTTAAGAATCTCATTATTTTTCTTTCTTTTCACAGAAACAAGCTCTTTCTTTTGGTGCAATTAAATTTTGGACAAAACGCACGAGACGCTTCTCTATAACTAGGGCAATATATATTAGCAAATTCATGAATAATTGCATGATGAGGTAAAACGCCCGATTCACGTCAGAAGTATAATATATATTATCACAATAAAATCAATTTTGCGTTTAGCTGTTTTTTGACCAAAGTTTGTGAAATCATAGAAAAATAAAAAACCCCCAAATCTTTCCACCCAATCAAATTTGAAAAATTAGGCCACTTAGGCCAAATACACAGAATACCTTGCAAACCCGAAACATATAATATATCAACCGTTTTCCAGCCACATGATTGTGCTTGTTTGACATAGATGCAGCCAGTATATCCTGCACATTCCGCAGTGTTCTACGGGAAACGCTATATAGTTCACGATTTATAGTGTGCAACCATCCCCGATATACATCGTTAAATCACTGAAAGTGTACACTAACGCTACGCAAAATGGAAGTCCAATTTCTATAATGGTCTATGCAAATGCAGTAAAAATGTCTATCTTATATATAAATATATACAGACGAAAAGATCTTGTATATATATAGACAAGTTGATTATGACATTACTTGATACATGCAGCATTGTTATACCAATGGCAATGCCGTGATTCACCGCATTGTAGAAGCGTCCCCATTGCTCAAGATCTCGGGAACATCAATTAAGCTCGACCGGGGGCATCGAGACATTGTTTATAGCTCTTTCGACATTAGATTATTTCTTCCCGTATATATCTAACGTTCTTGTCAACCGGGAATGTTTGGTTCAAATCAGTGGCGTAACGTTATATCAGGGGGCCCCCGGTTCAAAATTTTCGAAGGCCCCCCTAGTAGAAGTGCTAAAGTCACGAGTTTAGCGCCGTATATGCACAGGTTTTCTAGGGGGTCCAGGGCATGTTCATCCGGAAAATTTTTGAATCTAGACTCTCTGAAATGCCATTTCCTGGACTTTGGGGAGAGATTTTACAGAATTCTGTTGGTCAGAAAACGACATTGTAACATATCAGAGAGGCCCTGGCCAATGTTTTTGCTCTATCGCCTAAGCTTGGGGGCCCCCATTTTGGCCCATTGTGGTTGGGGCCCCCGGGTTCTCCCGGTCTGAGCCCATAGTAGTTACGCCACTGGTTCAAATGAATTTCAATCAGAACACAGCTGATATCGAAGCTATGAAGAACGAAGGACAGTTGATTTAATCAACTATATATATATATATATATCTGAGGTTTAATGTACTCTTAGAAGTGGGCCACTTCATGCAAGTGGGGTGTGTTTTAACAATGGTAGAAGGCCTCGCGTCCAAAATATGACAAAGGCTCGGTGCGTTCCTATCCCACGAAGCATTAAATTCGTGCCAAGCGACATGGGAGGAGGTGGTATTAACCAAGGTTCCAACATCGTACCTAAGCCTAACGCCCGTATTCTAAAAGCTCACTCACATTCACACTCAGTGAGTGGAGGTTCAATCTGAGCTTCTCTTGAGTGTTAATGCTGTTTTTG